TTAGTTTTTCTCAGGTCCAGAATATTGTAAATATTGTAAATACACACAGTGAAATAATGTTCGAAAATTATTGGTAACACACTAAGTAAAGAATTCCCATGCACAAACGAAGGGTTTTAATGGGTTCTCTCGATGTGTATTACCCATATCTAGGACATTCCATTTGATTTATTGTTTTCAATTGAAAATTGGAATCTTCCTTATTCCAAGAAAAACTCAAATGCATATTATAATCAAACCAAGAAATAAAGTTACCTCGTCATCTCTTGGAAATATGAGGCATTTGGTAAAAATGAGCCCAGGAGAATATGATGAAGACTAAATGAAGGACCGTGGGAACTGATAGAGGGAACAACATTTTTGGAAAGGGTGTCTCTGGAAGAAATAGACGAATTGAACAGTTTTCCGATAGAAAAAAAGATTGACAGGTGTTATCAGAAGCAGACATTTTGAAAGCTGATATATAGTATTGTTTCATAATTTCGAACAGTCTATTGAATATCAAATGCTATTTGAAGAAATGAGTGAGTCTCCCGCATCACTAAAAATCATTCTTGGGAGTAATTCGGGTACAACTGTTGATGCTTGATACTATTTTTATGACCTTCAGTATACAACATATTAAATTCAATCATAGCTACAATTACAACAAAGTAGCCTTTCAATCTCCTCTCGTTATCAAACTTTACGTGACGTTTTATCTCAGTGTTTCTCTGAGATTCTAAAGTGTGAATTATTCTCATTTTGTACCATTTTCAGCACAAAAGAGGACAATCTACTAGCGAGCACTCCTATTTCCATATCTTTTATGCAGTGACAAGTTAATAATAACATTACCTTTCGTGCTCTCGCCGCATCTACTGCATGATTGATATCATAAGATTAAATTGTTAGGACAAGTATAGCCTTTGTTGTCTTGTGGAAGCTTTTGAGATCGTGTACACTTTTATCATCATGAAATTCTGGAGACATTGACAGAATGAAGAGGTTAGGGTCGACTTCACAGCAAACAACTTTTCATTACCGCATGAAAATCCCATCATCTCATATTGCTGTTTTTCAGACTTTATTAACAAGCAGTGAATCAACAAAATCATATTCCGAAATCAACCGATTTTTTGTAGAAGAGAGCAACACCCGGACTAGTAAGCCGTGGTCGAATTCCAAACGTTTCGTCTACTATTGCGGCATCGTCAGTGGAATGTGCGTTGACCGCGAGGGCAAAAATAATAACTCGCTTACGATAACGAAGTGTTTCAGATGAATTACTCCTATTGGTCTACTGACGATGCCCAACAGGCTGAAACAGCTGTCCACCGATGGCTCCTAAATCGAAATCGGATTGTGGATGAAAGGAATGAAACTCATCTGTTTGAATCCATTTTTCAGCAGCTTGACTGCATTAACCATTTTTGATTAAAACTCATTTTTAGAAACACGTGCAGATTCCTTTTCCGACGGAATTCCTGGAGACTTTCCCAAATTTCTTCAACGCAGTTGTCGGTGTTGAAGTTTGCTCAACCTACCAAAGCCANTTTTTATTGACAGTTACTATGCCAGACACTTTATGAAGTACTTTTCTTGGTTCTTCACATTTTATCTTCAATCGAGGAATTGTTGAATGTCGTCAACGGCGATCCAGATTTGCTCAAAAGGTATTGTGTGAATACCATTCATGGATTGCGCCTGATCACTTGTCAATTCTTGCTCGCAATTTGTTTACCAAAAACAACACCGTAATCACGCTTCAGCCACCGCATCCACCAGATTTGGCCCCTTGCGACACCACACTGTTCCTAAGATTGAAGAGACCTATGAAAGGACAGCATTTTGCGATGATTGAGAAGATAGAAATCGAATCGGTAAGAGAGCTCAAGGACAAACCAAAAAAGTGCGTATCAGGTGGTTATGTGCTCTGCTTGGTAGCTGAGCTGAAAACTGTTCAGGTTCAGAAGAGGGCATTAAGGTCATACATGAAACAAATATCAGAATCTAAAGGAAAAATAATTGAGTTACGAAAACAAAGATCGAAAATCGAACTTGGAAAAATGGGAAATAGAAAGAAAAGGTGAACAAAAAATGAGGGGAAAAGAACAAGACAGAAAACAACTAAAACAATAGGAAAGTTGAAGAAAGATACAATCAAAGAATATCAAGTTTGAATGATATTTTCTTATTAGTCAGTGGGCTATGTTTGAAGACTGGCGTAAACAAATGTAAAGAAATGAACTTTAAACATTCAAGCCAGTCTCGAAGCAACTACTCTCCTGGCTAATACCACGAAGGGCGTTGGATTATACGTCAGTGCATGAATCTCCACAGAAAATTTCCTTTATATGCAATTGGCAATACAACTGAGAGAGTCGACCTTCAAGACAGTCTCGTATATACCTACACAGTAGGTTGAATGGACTGACGTCTATCAGAAAACAACTACTTCCCTGGCTAATACCACGAAGGGCGTTGAATTATATCCGACAGGCGTTAGTACAGGAATCTTCACAACTGAAAGAGTCGACCTTCAATTTAAAGGTCGACTCTTTCAGTTGTATTGCCAATTGCATATCTTTCAGTTGTATTGCCAATTACATATGCAGAAAATTTTCTGTGGAGACTCCTGCACTGACGCCTGTCGGATATAATCCAACACCCTTCGTGGTATTAACCAGGGGAGTAGTTATTTTCTGATAGGCATCAGTCCATTCAACCTACTTTAGATTCGAATGATATATTCAGAAAATTTCGTGGGAATAAACAATTTCTCCAATAACAAATGATGAAAAAATTTCAACGAAAGCGAAATGGAACATTAAAAGATGAAGACAAAATCAGAGAAGTCCGAAATGAAGTCAAGGAGGTTAAATAGGAGTTGGGAAAAATGAATGAGGGAATGGAGGAACATAAATTGAATATTTTCCAATCTTCCATACCATTGTTGGAGACGAAAATCACACTTTTCGTTGATCTGTTTCAGATATAAAATAACCTTTTACGTGATGCCAGACTGGATTGCCACAATTATTTTTCTGAGGTAGCTCAAGCTTCTTACATTCCAGATGCTTGTCATTGCCATCACCTCAATGATTCAATAGGCGAAAAATGAGACAAGTCAGTTATATTTTTTCCTAATGAATAGGCAAATCTAGTTATCACGTTCATTACACATTTTTGAATGATTCCAGAAAATGAATAACAAATTCAGTGAATCTCCAATGAAAATTGTTGAGAATTTGAGTTTACCCAATCCCCATATACACACTAGTCATTGCTTTTGAATATTTTTGGCAACTCTACTGGTTTGTGTATGTAGATGGTGACTTGATACAATTAAGAAACATGGCGGTTGGAAATCGAGTAGAGTTGCCATAGGTTGAGTTCATCAACCCACTTCTAGTAAGAGTGAAATGCAGATGAAAATTTCACAATAGGTGAAAAATGTAAAATCACCTTTCAGATTGTGTTTCTTCTGGAACTACATTGATAAATACAATTATAAGTGTATATGTTTATGTTTCCTTTTTTCTAATTGATGATAATGACAATACATCACTATTATACTTAATGAGTATGCCGTGATCGTTGTTTACTCATCGAAAAATATTTTCTGAATCTGGAGAACATTAATGAATGTGATTTCATCTGAACATAAGCGTGAAACTGCTACACCTATTACACTATACAACAACTTCTTTTGATACCTTATCTAATACTAAGGTTAAGTTTTGTTTCATGTTTTTCTAGATACAGTTGGGTTAGGTTAACTCAAAAGTGAGTAGGTCTATTCATCCCTCACCGCAACCCGCAAAGGTTTATTGCGGCTAACGCCTACACAAACTAGGCCAAATAAACCCAGCCGAAGCCGATAAGTGGTGAGTAATCTCTCAGGTCAGTTAGATGGTAAGAGTACGGCTCTGCCAAACTCTAAAAACCTGATTCGTTCCTCAGCGGGGCAGGCACAAACTATATGCTCTGCTGTTCCATCATTTTCCAAACAGATGCGACACACACTACCTTCCGACAGTTCAAGTCTCTGCATACGATGATTCAGACGACAGTTACCAGTGAGGAGGCCTGTGAGACATCGTAGTTCATCCCTACTGTTCATCCCCACCGATTGGTGCGACCTCGCTGACAATGGAACATCAAAATCATGGAATGATACTGAGGCAAATCATGGAACAATAATTTCGAGCTTGCACCAAACCACAAAAACGTGCACCAGTGCAGGAAAATCTAACAAACCTGGTCATACTGCATATACGTCCGTGGGAAACGTCAACACAGACACTGACAATCACTCTCAAAACAGTGGCCAAAAAAAATAAGCAAGCTTCGGATGGTGAATGAACACCTTGGACTGAGTTACTTCTGGAAGATTCTGCTGAGAGTCCTCAAATCTTCTTGCCATCCAGGTGTTCAATGTTTGGTTGGCTAAGCTTGAAGGAAGCTATGCCAATGACTGGTTCTGCATCCTCTTTCGCAAGGGAGTCAGCAGACTCATTGCCTTCCAGGCCAGTGTGGCCAAGAATTTAGACCAAAGATGATTTGTTAAGTATTTCTACTAAGGAGAGTCGTTTTTAGCAATTTGCTACCAATTTAGACGTTGCAAGGAACTTCCAACGCCGCTTGACTGTCCACGAATATTTTCATTGGATTCTACCGATTCCTCCACACACAATTCAATAGCATAAAGAGTCATTACAGTTTCCATGTGGTAACATATAAAAGAAGCACTAGGTAGAGTTCAGTTTACTATTATTAATACCTGAAAAAGCTATTGTATAGTGAAACTCGTTTTGCTATTTTGTGAACGGTTTTGTAAAAATACCACATTGAAGTGTTTTTACATTCATTTACTGAGAATATAACCTACTAATCACATTCTGTGACATTCCAAAGATAACTACTTTTTGTGAAATGATTTTTGAAGATTGTAATACTTGCTGATCAGATCACATTGCATTGCACCACAATTCTCATTTCATTGTTTCTTGTTTCAGAATGAACGGCGCAGCGCTAGTCTTCCTGTTACTCGCAAGCCAAACATGGTCTCTATGTCCAACAAAATGCACTTGCTACCTGGACCAAAAGGGTAGGAAGGCCGTCTCGTGCAAAGAAGGAGGAACCGTTGGTTCTTTGAATCTAGACAATGTTACCCTTGACACCGAAGTCATCAAGATCACAGCTCCCGATGACAACACTAACTCGCTCACAATGAGCCCAGTCTTCCAGAACTACAAGATGTTGGAGGAAATTCATATCACTAAATCCAACATACCACAACTAGGCATGCATTTCTTCTGGGGTCTAACGAAACTCGACGTACTGAATCTTTCCCAGAACAACATAACCCAACCTTTGGACCACAACTTCCGGGGTTTGTCCAAGTTGAAAGAGTTATATTTGGACGACAATAGAATAAGTTCGCTCCCAAGCGGGACCTTTCGACATTTGCATTCTTTGAAGTTACTTTCCATTCAGCGGAATAGAATTGAGGAACTGACACCCCGAATTTTCATGGAGATAAGTAAACTCAAAGTGCTCAAGTTGAGCGGGAACAATCTGCGGGAGCTGCACCCGGAAGTTTTTAAAGACGTACAGGTAAATTAGTTGATTAATACACTTTGCTACGAGCTATGTTAGCATTCCCTTTGAGTCTCTGTAATCCAACAAGTGGAAGATACTGACTTCGACTCAAGTTTTCCCAATTTCAGAGTGTATTCAGCTTTGAATTGGCGTAGATAAATTCGTTTAACTTGTTTTGAAATTGAGACGAAAACGGTAATTAGCCTTTGATTTCAAGTGGAATGGAAAATTGGTAATAATGATTCAGACTCGTAATATCAGACAGATTTAATTGAGCTCATAACAAACTTGGCGATTTCTCCAAAATTCAATATGAAGTCGTTGAAAATATCGTTTCTTCTCATATCCACTTGTTGTCTGATTTTTGTTCCTTGCTACTTGTGATCATGTGGTTTCAAATGCTACATGAAGGAAGGTTTCACTTCATGTCCAGCCAGAAATATTGAGGAAAATATAGTTACTGAACAATAAAATAGCTGGATGGTTGATTGTAAAAAACCTCATTTCGAGATTTCAAGTTGGGTATAGTTTAGAGTTCTTAGGGGAAAGGTGTGCATTTTGATGTGCAAAGGGAACTCGGTATCTTACTATGAGTGTAATCTTGTTATTGAATAGTTAGATAGATAATTCATTGGTGTTTTATACATTCATCAGTATTTACACAAGTCAATATGTACATATAATTAAAATTAGTATATGTCAGGCATCTATTAATATTTACATAAACAATAGATGCTTACAATTCATAACTTTTGAAACTTGTCTGGAGAGGTTTCTTAGTAAAAATAGATTTCTCATTAGCTTTTTTGATAGTTCATTTATATGATGATCCCATTTTAACTCAGTGTCAAAATGGATTCCCAAAAATTTCACACTACTTTGCGAATTTGAGTAATTTTCCGTATTTATTAGGGTGAATACCATGTTTTGGGTTTCGTTTTTATTCAGATATAATTCGTTTGCATTGAACCACCTTTCAGTTTGTGACTGTGCTTCAGAGATTAATATAAGTACCTCATCTAGAGTTTTAGCATTTGTTTGGATTCTAGTATCATCTGCATATAAAATATATAATAACGGGTTCTCCCAATATGGTAGGTCATTAATGAAAATTATAAATAGTAGAGGTCCCAAATAGATCCTTGATGTACACCAGTTGTAATTTTTTATCTTGTTGATAGAGAATTGCCCACTTTCACAGTTTGAAATCGATTTTTCAAGTATGAGTTGATCAACTTTATAGTGTTGTCAGAAAAATTATATAGTTTTAATTTATTCAAGAGAATTTCATGTGATACACAATCAAATGCTTTGCTTAGATCACAAAAAGTTATTTCTGAATACTCTAGTTTTTCAAAAGTTGTTTTTATTTAGTTGTTAAGATCTAGTTTCGCCATTTCAGTGTTTCTACCTTTTCGGAATCCATACTAGCAGTCTGTGATAGTGTCATAATTCTCAAAATGATGTACAATTTGCAAATATTTTTGATATTATTGATAGCAGAGATATTGGTCTGTAGTTTGTAGGATCATTTGGATTTCCACTTTTGAAGATACGTATTACTAATGCTTCTTTCAAGACGGAGGGGAAAATTCACTCTTTTGTACACTGGTTCAGCAGTTTAGTTAGAGGGATTAGAATTAAATTTGATATGCATTTGATCACTTCAACATTCAGTTCATATATATCTCTGCTGGGTTTATTTTTTAATGACTTTATTACATCTCTAACTTCATTGTAGGTAAATTCTGTTAGAGTAAAATTTTCAAAATTCAAATTGTTTAGTTTTTTGAGAGGGTCCAAGTTTGAACTATCTATTTTTTGGATTAGGTTTTTTGCATTATTTACAAAGTAGGTATTGAAGGTGTTTGGTGAGACTGGTGGGTCTTTACTTCGTTGTTCTCTGTTTTTGTTTTCTTTTATTATATTCCATATGCATTTATTATGATTTTTCGATTTTTTTATACGATTATCATTACATTCCCTTTTAGCACATGCAATGGTTTCTTTGTATATTTTTTTCAAACTGTTTAGTTGTTGTTAGAGATTATCCCGCAAGTTTCTTATTTCGCCATTAAACCATGTATACTAATACTGAATAGTCATATCATTTTATTTAAATAGGTTGACCGTTTGAATTTGAAATATAATGCTTTCTGGATATTATTTTTCTCGGTATAATTGAAAAAAAATTACCACGATCGCTACTTTTGTACAGAGTTTCGTCCAACTTTGGGTAGGCTTCAGTAATATCATCATGAATGTTTGTTTTTTCTTAACAACATTCATTTCATTTTATTGAGTAAAATAGTAGATGATTTGGAATTGATGAAATATTGAAAACAAGGTATATTTCCCAATTCAACAGATACAAATATAATTTAATTTCAAAGTGGAGCCCAGGTTGAACACACTGTATAAACGTACTAGGAACAGATTCTCTGCTTGTCAACTTTTTCACAATTTATTCAACTCACTATATCTCTCTGTCTCTTTCTCTCGGTTTTCTTGGCATTCGCTTCCGTACGTAAACTGCCTATCTCTGCCGCTAACGATATCCTCATGCACACACATGAATTTGGTCAACCCTATAAACTGTACTTCTTCAATAATCAACTCTTATCAAGTGTTTCTTTTGTTGTAGGAGCTGAAAGTACTGGAATGCCGAGGATGTGCCTTACGCAGACTGAACAACGAAATATATCACTTGTTACCCCAACTGATCCATCTCGACTTAGGAGACAATGAAATAAAAACTCTACCAGCGGAACAGCTAACAGATTTGATCAACCTCAAACATTTCAAACTGGACGGTAACCATATCACTATTATACACGACTCGACCTTCATCCACCAACCAATGCTGAAAAAATTGAATCTGGCAAGAAACCATATCACGAAGATTTCCCAAGAAACCTTCCGGGATGTTCAGAATCTGACAGATTTGGATCTGAGCTATAACAAATTGGAGGAGCTGAGTTTTTTGGCGCCGGTTTCGGACCTACTGGAAGTGTTGATCTTGAGCGGTAACCATTTCAAGTTGAAGACTCTCGATGAGCTTCTGACCCTTACGGCGTTACGGGAGGTGAGGCTCTCGGATTGTGGCTTGGCAGATATACCCTTCGGAATATTTCCTTCAAGTCTGAGATCGTTGGATCTGAGCGGAAATCATTTGTCAGCGCTAGCAAAAGCTGTTTTACCAACAGACCTGAATGAGCTGGATTTGTCCAATAATCGCTTCAGAGGTTTAGACGAAGATCTCTTGACATTGATTGATAGCACCCCGAATGTGCAACTGGACAATAACTTGTGGTCCTGTGACTTGTGCCATATTGTTCCCCTGCTAGAGCGGGTCAACCGTAGTGTGCTTTTCAGTGAAATAATTTGTGCTGCGCCGTACACGGTCAAAGGAAAAAAGCTGGGGACGATTCAAAGAAACGAATTGACGTGGTGCACTTCCCCCGGGTACACAGCTAGTGACGCAAATTTCTTTCTGATCGGGGAAGATGGAAAGGTTGGGATAATCGCGGCGGGAACATCCGTTTTCCTCCTAGTTCTCACCGTCCTCGCGATAATTGGGGCGCTGTGCTACTCCAAACGTCACGCTGCCAAATATTACACCCACGAGGATAAGATTGCTGTGGAGGGGGAATCGATATTCGATAATAACCACAGTCCTTTGTTTTGCGACGGAGAGCTGAGCTTCAAGTTTCCTCTCGACGCTGGCGAGAAGAAAATTTCCATAGCCACCATTGATGAGATTAAAAAAGAGCACACAATCACCAACGGGACTTGAACGGGTTTCGGGAAATCGAATTGATGAGAAACGAACGATATTGACAGTGTGGCGTCGGGGGACGTTTCCAAACGTTCTCCGTCGGACATTTGTTTCAATTCCGTGTTTTGGAGCTGGTGAATCCGCCGGGATTTTCAGCACCAGGAATGAGTTTGCGAATGTTTCGATGTAAAGTCATATCTGTGAACGTGTGGTATTAGATTTTGCTATTAATTTATTGTCGATACTCAGATAGATCGTAGTATAGGCGAGAAATAGGTTCATTCAATTTGCCTGTGGATATGGGCATCTCTTCAGAATGTTTACACATCGATGACACTATTTTTGTTCAAGTTTGAAGGCCGTCGAGTTTTGGAATTTTTTTCTGACGTTTGATTGTCAATAACATTCGTTGACCCTTTCCTACCTGCCAATTTCATATTTGGTTGAGGTTTTCAGCTTCTTCTTTTCTGTTGAAATCATTCGTGTGCTTGTGTATCTCTATTGCCTCCCGTACTAGTCGGCAATGGTATCTCTGGTTGGAAGCAATAAATTCCATGTATCCAAAGTCCTGTAGTTCTTTTCACTAAGTGCGTGTTCCACCACAGCCGACTTGTCTTTTTGGCCTAGTTTGCTGTTTCTTTCATGCTCCTTCAGCCTTGTTCCCATCAAACCCTCATCCTAGGCAAAGGAGAGGAGTCATCTCTACACCCACTGAACAGGCTCTAAAAATTTGTGAACTAGAACATCTAGAAGAACAACAAGAACATCTTTAAGTGGCTTTGAGATCGAATAGATACAGTGTATCCATGAAACTGAAGAGTTCTCCGATTCAAAATGTGGAGAAGTCTCAAATGGTTGCACGTTCATATATCTCGTATAGCTCTAAAGTCATAGACATAATTGGAAAATTCCTGGGGAAAAACAACATTGAAATGGTTTCCAAAACCACTAGGAAGCCACAACATAGCCTCAAGTTGACTGAAGGCAAAAAAACCACTATCATCAGCAGGAAGGAAACCACAGAATTCTATTTGAAAACGCGAAACAATGCCCCCAACCAGGGATACCAGAGTCGACTGGTAAGGGAGGCGATAGAGATCCAAAAACACACGGATAATCTCAATAAAAAAGAGAAAGTTGTCAGCTTTATGGATTAGTTGGCATTCATATGAATATATATCGATCTTTTGAAAATACTTTTTCCAGACCAGAACAAGAGCAGTGCCTATAGACGCTCTTTTCTGTTACCAGTTGATGATGGTTTTAGTAATCTTTTGATGATTCCAACTCTGTTAACGAAATGCCCTTTGAAAGACGTATACAGTTACATATTGACCATATTTTGGAATTTCCAATATATTTTTTATATTCAATAGGTCCTTTGGAAGCTGCTAAATTTTTCCTGCTTTTGGCAAGTTTTACAAAAAGCAACTTTCAATTTATTATATCCTCGATTATATTCATGAAACTGTCATGGTATCAAACTGAATCGTTAGTTTTGAAAGTCGTGCATTTTCCGGAAAGATACATTTCAGAGAAAGCAAGGTTTTGGCTTTTTACCTCCATCGTCATTGGAAGTTTTCGAAATTGATAGTTTTCTTTCTTTCTTTCGAAAGATTACAACATTTTTACGTAAAGAGATGAAAAAGTAAACTGTCAAAACCATTATTTTTCATGAATTGTTAGTGTTAGCTGGAAATGCTACTGAATGAATTTGTTTCTTCTCATTGAAGTAGTGCATATGATGAAAAGGGATGATTTTGTATATTTTTTAAGATGATATTCGATTGTTGTTAGGAAACATTGGGTCTGAATGGTACCAAGATTACTTAAAATAAGGTACTAATTTCGTATTAGTTATTGTGTGATGTAATATTTAAGGTTTATATTTTTTCAGATGAACTCTACACTTAAGATTATAATAGTTATAATGCTAGTATTACTATGAATATTTATGGACTATACAAATAAATATATAATTGTACAAAATATGTTGAATAAAAAATATTGTTTTTAAGAAACGCATGTTTTCTTTCTCACAGAATGAGGTCGAAAATTAGGGGTATCTACCAAAGAAATATGGAAAATTTCGACTTGGAACAAGGGGTTGAGGTGCAAAGTATTACTGTATTTGTGTTGAGCTTTTGGAAAGAAAACCTTCAGATATAGAAAACTTCAGTTTCCTGGAAAATTTGAAAGCATATTTTTGTTATTGTTGCCCTTAATATTTGCCTTTATGGAGGTCATAAATTCAACAATTTTCTTTGAGTATATTCTTAATACTCCTTACTTTTATAACAATTTTTTCACCAACATTTTCGTTTCAAAGAACTGAGATAACTTTTGAAGAACTGGCAATGTTTACATCGTTCCTCACTTGAATGTTAATTTTCAACAAAATTACATTTTTTCACATCCAACCATTTAGAGGACAAATCATAAACGTAAAAACTCATAAACGAAACAACTACTTTTATATGGACATTGAATTACACTGTTGTGAATCATCCCTGAAAAAAAAATAACGCTGGCCGCCGCTGGTCATCGTAAATCGATTGTGACTTGGCCAAGATTGCGCTCAACTCAACTTGCGCTCAGCGATTGCTCTAGACTTCGATTATCATATATAAACACTACCAAGACGCATATCCAGATATCTGACAAAACGTAAATCACTTTCTCCCATACATTTTGAACTCAAAGCATTCATTATGGAACTGAATCAGATATGATTCATAGAAATGCTACACAATATAATATATAGAACACTACGACATGAATTTATACATACTGTCAATCATTGTTCATTTAAGTGATATAAAATAATTTAGATTATCATTAATTCATTTCCAAGTAGCAAAAATATCATCAATGTAACTTCATCAAACTTTTAAATCGATCAGGTTAATTTTGTTGAAAAAATCGAAGCGAATTTTGAGGAACACACTGTAAATTACTGGAGTTTTTAACTCCAACGACATCATTTTGGAATCTGAAACTACAAGATACGTACCTATGAATTCCATACCTTTCTTTTTTCCAGCACAAATTTATAATTTTTTTTTGGGACCGAACACAAACATTACAGAAAAATCTTCGAGACCCTCTACGAGCGGTGCCTGTGCGAAAGTAGGGATTCACGTTGGATTTGAATCGCTGGAGATTAAATCTATTTGGAAAAACGTTCTCAGGAAGTTTATTCCATATAAACGCAGTTCCCCTAATGAAAGAGTTCATGGACAGTGAAGTTCGAGGTATACTGAGTTTAACCTCTAAACGAAGGTTAGAGGTTCGTTCGTCGCGTATTTCTGATATGTACTTCTCTTGGTGGGATCAAATGTGCCAAGTCACTTAAACACCTCCCGTGAAAGTATCTATCAAGGCTGCAAATGATGTTCGCATCTCCAATTAGGCGAATGGTTCTTTTTTGGATGGAATCCAGTAGCTTCAAGTTATGCTTAGAGGCAAAGTTCCATACATGAGAACAATGCTCCACAGAAGGTCTGATCTGAGCTGTACGAAGCATCAAAATTTGCTGAGATTTATACAGTTTTCTGGTTCGGAACAAAGTCCAAGCTGTTGAGAAACAGCCTTTGCAATTCCCGGGACATGATATGTGCCAAGACATATTGATGTCCATTTTAACCCCCAACAAACTCTGGAGACATTTATATTTTTGGAAAATCCAGTGGCTGGATTACTTTCACCCCGATTCGAAATCACTTATAGATCCTTATTAAGATATGCAACCTCTTGCTGCCGGTAAAGATGTGCATCTGCAGCCCATGTCCTGGAATCCAAGTGAAATGACGAAACAAGTGTGCTGGCATCAGCAAAGTTATATATTGAATACTTGTTTTTTTCCACTGAGTCCACTAAATCCCTGGGGAACACTAGCGTTGATGGTGAAAGTATTCGAGATATATCACTCAATGGTCACTTGGAATGTTCTTTCAGGAAGCTGGATGGTCATACACAAAAATGATCCAACAAGCCATAGCATCGGAGTCTGGCTATCGCACCCTCATGCCTCACACGGTCGAAGTCCTTAGAGATATCAAGAGCAACAGTTCTTGACCCTCCATGTTTCTCGATTGCGTTATCCCAAATATGGGTGACATACAATAGAAGGTCGCCTGTTGATCTTTATTTCCGAAAGCCATGTTGATGATCGCTCAAGATATTGAATTCTCCCAAATATTTAAGGATATTATGGTGGTTTACAGCTTCATCCATGATAGCAAAACGACTGATCTATAGTGATTTGGAAAATATTTACTGCCCTTTTTGGGAATAGGCTGAACGCAAGCAATCTTTCAACAAGAAGGGCAATTTTACAATTTTCTGATGAACAACACATTTTTTTTATTTTTGAATTAACGCAGTTTGCCACTTCTCCACCTGGACAAAGTTCTCCATTTGAATTTCTTTTTAACCAGTCTTTTGTTTTTATAATATCCATGCTGACCAAATCATGCAGTTCCCTTTCATTCTTGCAATGCCAAAATAAAGTAGTGTCATCAGCGAATTGGGTTATTTCTGCGGTTATATTAATGCAGGCCAGGTCGTTAATATATAACAAGAAGAGAATAGGGCCTAGACCCGATCCTTGTGGAACACCACATTTCCCATTTGAAAATCCATCGCCCACTCACCAGATCGGTTAACTCAATTTGTTTTATTCAAATTCGTTTACGAAACGATTCAAGTGGTGCGACTTCTCATTGGACCTCACTAAAAAAGATAAATTCTCTTCCATTCACTACCTTTGAAGCGGAGTACATCTATTCAACTTCATTAGTCGAAGTGAATTCAAACGGAACTCATTTCTACTCTGATTTATTTGACCTAATTCAGTCGAATCCAGTAAAAATTCCAGAGGAACGATATTAGCCAAAGCTCTCTATACTCGGTACCTCGATGAAAAAACAACGAGAGCAGATTTGGAAAAGGCTCGTCGGTCTACTTCAGGTCTGAATTTACATGATGAGATAAAAAGTAATTCAATCATCTGGTTCGAAACTCCTACATTGCTATAAGAACTTCATCCAATTACATTTTCGGTCCGATAACCTGATGTTTCGTGGGAATTTCGGTATACTTTTCACATTTGAAGCCAAACAGATGTTTACGTGTTTGTGTTGAATGAAGATTTATTGGGAATTAGGCCGATTTTATCAAGGGTTTCCGTGGTCGAATCGAATCGTGCCACGGAATGTTTTCATCAGCATTTCATGAGAGGGAAGTTATGATCGTTTTCAAATCACCCATAACACAGGCCAACAAAAAAAAATGTTTTTGAAAACCTTGTTTACTTCAATAGCTGATGTCGTGTCTTCGAATACTTAAAAAATAATAAAAAAGAAAACAAGAGTGGACTGTAAGAATTGTGGCATAAAGCGAACTCACCGAATTCCTAATGTCAAAAAACTAAATACATTTAAATTGAAAAAAAATAAATAAATTTCAATCAATTCGTCTCCTCAATTGGTAGAGGACACAATTTGACCAAAGGTCGTGTTAGTGTACCATTTTTGGTTTTGACCACAGCAACACGAGAAATTCCGTCACTACCCGGTTTCAAAGTAGTGATTCGACCTGAAGTCCACTGAAGTGGGGGCGTAACATCTTTTATCAAAACTAATGTACCCGGTGCAACCGGAGTCATTGGTTTAATCCACTTGCTACGTTGATGTAATGTATGCAAATACTCAATTTTCCATAGACGCCAGAAATCTTGATGGATTCGTTGGAGTAATTGCCACCGCGATACACGATTCAAAGGAGTTGACGTGAGATCGGAATCAGGAACGGCAGACAGGGGTTCTAAAGTTGAAAAATGGCCGGGACTTAGAACTGAAATATCATTAGGATCTGAACTTGAAGGTGTTAATGGTCGAGAGTTCAATATTGATTCAATTTGAACCAGCACCCTATAAAGTTCTTCCTGAACCTGTTCTCTGATTGTTTTATTCAAATGACTCCCAAATACCTTCGAAGTGCGGTGCTGAAGGGGGGTTGAAGTGAAATTCAATATTCTCAGAGGACGTAAAAGTTTAAGTTGACTACAAGCTCCAATGAAATTTGTTCCGCAATCACTGCTTATCGAAGAATATCGTCCTCGACGAGCTACAAAACGGCGAAGAGCTGCTAAAAATGCGTCTCGAGTGACGCATTTTTAGCAGATCTGAAGCGAGTTCGATGTGAATCGCCTTTGTAGCGAGACGTACAAATAGACATATGTATGCCTTGATAGTTTTTGATCTCCTACGTTTATTCATAGCTATAAAAAGTGGACCACCATAATCCACACCAACGTTAGGAAAGGGCTTCATTTGTGAAATGCGTGGTAGAGGAAGATTCCCCATGGGAGGTTGTAATGATACATGCCATGCATCGAGACAAATTTTGCGAATTACGCGTTTGGATGCCAAAATCCAATATTGTTGAGATAGTAAGAACTGTACACTTCGTATACCTGCATGGAGATACTTTTTATGAAAATAATTAAATCAGTGAAATCTGAGTTACTAGGTAAAAGAAGCGGATGTTTCTTATCGTAAGATAGGTTAGAATTTGTTAATACACCTCCCACTCTGAGAAGTCCCTCATTGTCCATAAATATATTCAATTTTTTGAGCGGCTTCGAAAAATTATGTGATTATGATGCCATAATTCAGGCGACACTTTATCCTGAATATATGTGACTCTATTACTCACAAAAGTTTTCCATCTGTGTGGAGAAGCATTAATCCATGCAGGAGTAATTTCCGAATCTGTCCATGCCCAAATAGAACTGAATTTAAGTTTACCTTGATATACACTAAGGACAAATGACATTAAAGAAGAGAGGAGTACAGCTGATTCCTATAGATTTTTGTGTGATGAATCCAAATCTGGTCTTAGTTCTTTTGTATCATCCATAGTTTCTGAACCATTTACTTTTTTTATATGATTTAAAATCTGTACGGTATATGGTAAAATTAATGAAACATGAAAAAAATGTAATCAATATCATGGTTTTTATTTACAGTAAGTCACTTGAAATAATGATACAGTGTTATAATGTAGGTTCCACTGGTCAGATAGAATCGGTTTATACTTCTTTTCTCTTTTCTCTTTGAAGTTTCTTGTGTAGCTTTTCTTGCCATCAGTCGCATGTTGAGCTTTACGGTGAAGTGGCCAATAGTAGTCTGCCATCATGTTGATGTTCCAGAGACCCTGATAACGTTTTTCCATCAATATCTTGGTGAAAACACTCACCCTGCTCCTCACTAACATCTCCCAAATTTTCAGGGAAGTAATCAAGATTACTGTTCAAAAGTGGACTTTCAGGCTCAACAAACATCCTAGTTTCTTGAAATTCTTTAACATGTTAGCTACAATGGTTCGATATTCTGGGTCTTTTGCATTTCCTTAGAATTTTGTAACAACTTGCTTGACTGATACCCATGCTTCTTTCCCATGTATGGTCATTGTGGTTTCAAAGTTTAGGTCCACCTGTAGGCAATGCCTTTACAAACTGTTTCATGAGGCCTAACTTTATATGTAGAGGTGGCAAGATAATGTTTCTAGGATCTACAAGGTTCTTGCGGAGAATGTTTTTCTCGACGGGTTTTAAAGACTTCCTCACAGGCCAGTTCTTTCTGCACCAACGTTGATCCCTTGCTCTACTGTCCCATTCACATAAAAAACATGGAAATTTGGTAAAACCGCCTTGCTGACCAAGAAGCATTTATGCTACTTTCAAGTCACCACATATCATCCAACCATGAGCCGAATAGCCAATTTCATTCAACACTATTTCTAGGTTTTCATAGGTCTTTTTCATATGTACAGAATGGCCAACAGGTATAGATGCATAAGTGTTCCTATAGTGTAATAAAACAGCTTTCAAACTAGTTTTGGAAGAATCAATAAACAGCCTCAAGTCTTCTTTTTTGTACTCAACACCACTCTTTGATCAGACTTGGAATGTCTGAGCAGTACACTGAATCACCTTCTTGTTCAAAACATTTGACTGTAATAAATAAAAAAATTCAATATATTGATGTGCAAATGTGAAAAAATGGTAAGTGATACGGCTCAATAAGTGTCATATTTGGATTTAGCACCCTAAAAAAAAAAAAGAATAATAAGGTGTTTTGAGTGAAAAAGTTTTTTCATCGTTGGCCTCGTTAAAAATATTTTCAAAATGAAAAGTCTTGCTTCAGACATAGCCAGTAATTGAACTCTCTGCTCGTCAATTGAAGATATGAGTTATTGTTTTCAGAATCGCAATGATCTGGGTCGAATTTGTCCAGTCATCGAGGTGGATCTTGGTTCAAGTTGGAAGCAGAAAGTCACTGATATTAATTCTAGTGATTTTCAGCTACCGAAAAATATGGATCACTGAACTTGCTTCAAATTTTGTGTACAAAATGGAATTAAGTGCTCAAAAAGAGTCAAAAATTGTGTTAAGTGGCACAAGATTTTCACAGAAGGCCCAGAAGATATGAATGACTCTAGACGTTCCAGCACATCAACAACCGATGAAAATGTTTATTATTATAGAGAGTCGTCGAATCACTATTAGAGAAGTTGCTAACGATATCGGTATATTGGTTGGTTTATGCCATGCATTTCTTTTGTAATTTTTGGTCATGAAGCCTGTGGCAGCGAAGTCTGTTCCAAAATGCTGAGTTTTGAAAAGAAGAAGACTGAAAAACAAAATGTATTGCCCAACACATGAATCAACTCACAGGATGATATATAATATAATAATGCAGTATGAATAAATACTATTTAAACTGAATATACAGGGTGTAACTGAATGGGTGTAAAACATTTGAGGAGGTGATTCCTCATCGAAAAAAAGATAGGATCTTTCATATAAAGAAACTTCATTGGAGAATCCCTTGTTAAGATAATATAAAAAAAGGGGATTGTCTGAGTTCTGAACTCAAGATGTAGAAAAGTCTTGGTCCGAGGTAAGAGTGACATCTTTGCCCAATAACTTTAAAGAATATAGGTATAGATAAGATTTTGTTTACGTTTGCTCTTGTATGATAGGAATACGATACTAAAATTAGGCTTCATGTTTGTATTGATGTATTGAAATTTTGTGAAAAAATAGCTGTCTGATATAAAAAAAATAAAATGTTTCATTATATAGGAGATGTGTGGAGTAATATTGATGTTTTTTGAATATTATTTTGATGCCATACGAGAGCCTAGAGTGCATATTAAGTTGTGATCAATTCAGGCATATCAAGCATCTTTGATAATACTCTGAATTGATAATACTCTGACGTTATCAATTTCACCGATCATGTAAACTCCTCTAACAGCACAAGAAGCTCTGAAATTGTTATATCCTCATCGAAATGAAATGAATTTTAAAACCAAAAAGATGTTATCCGACTCGATGGTTCACGATGTTATACATGTTACATCAAAATCCTTAATGAATCTCTTGTCCAAGAATTGCATCAGCATGTACGCAAATAACTAAAACTCCCCTGGGAACTGACTCATATATTTCCAAGAATTTTCTGAAAGAACGCAGTTCTACATCAGCAAGTCCAAAATTTATAAATATGAAAACCGGGACGAGATCATTATTTTTGTTTATGTATTTGTTGTATCTTCATTTTTGTTTATTCATTCAAAGTACACTTCAATGTGAGATTTCCATACAACAGTTCACAAAACCGCTACACATGTTTCGCTATACAGTAGCATCATCACACGTATTAAGTGTGGAAGCTATTGTGTAGCGAAACTACTCAAACATAAACTCTCCAGTGAAAAATCGCACATAGAAGTGGTACTCACGGCTAATTTCATCACTTTACATATGTTTATTGTCTATATTTTTCATTGCTGAAGAAGAAATGAAGGAAGACTTCATCAATTATTTATTGTACCATGTCCTCAAACTATTCAATATACTTGATTGAAACATATGGAGTGATAACAAACATATCGAATACATTCAAACCGTAACAATCATTTGAAAATTTCGAGGTTTTCACTAACTTGAAATTTATTATATATTGTTTGGAACCGGCGATCTTCTGTTCCATAGAATCATCTTGATCCTCTTCATCTGCATCTCTTTTGTCAAACCACCAGTAACGAAAGTTGCACATATGAAAGTTTCTGAAAATCCCATCGACTCCATTTTCAGTTTCATTATCATGCTGGAACACGAATTCGGCTTCAAAGATATGTGATACTTCTTTCTGAACTTTGAATATTTCCGGAATGTAAACTTCGATGAAACTTTTGTAAAATGGCAATCGTGCGTAGGTCGTGGCATAGTATTCACACTTTCCTTTTTGAGCATATTTTCCCTGCAGCACGAGTCCCGCCAATTTATTTCTTACAACCAGTGGGCTACCATCATCCCAAACACCCGCAACCGCTTGTGGGCTGTCCTCTGTTCCTAAACTACTGCAAAGATGAGCCTCAGGTTGGAAGTTTTCGCAATCTGGAGTATCGCGTTTCGCACAATCTGAAAATCAATATGGGTACACCTTTGAGAATTTTTTCATTTGTCTATGTTACATAAATATTTGTAACTGAGCAACACATTTGTATTTCAAAAACGTCAGTTTTTATATTTCGAATCATGAATATTATAACTAGTTACTAGATTTCTCAACACAATATTTCTCACTACAATATTATGGCACGAAACTAACAAAAAAAATCTACATAATGCCATCTGCTCAGATATCTGTCTTCATATCCTTTTGCTGATATATTCCAAGCTATGATGAAATTAAAGTTCTAATAAACGAAACTGAAATAAAAGTAATAGAGAAAATTGATCATATCGAATATATTTCATTATACATATACAGGGCTATTCAAATTCATTTCTGTACATGGGAATCTCGTAAACGATAAGAGATAGAGTGTCGGTTGAATTATGGCGAAGTTGCGTATTTCAGAGACCTATTCAACGATGTAAAGAAATCGAATACAGCTCTTTTGGTTCTGGAGATATACAGAAAAAACCAAAAAAACCCAAATAATTTTTTTGCCTATATCTTCTTCATTCGCAGACATATTGAAAATCTGTTCACATTTTGGTATTGGCACTTGATTTGGGCTCTCAGAATATATCCATGAATCTTTTATACAGGGAGTCATCTGACTTGGGCCAAAAACATCCCGAAATATAAAATTGAATTTAATTTCTCAGTATGAAGTGAACGTCTGCTATCCAAAAACTACAACAAAAAATACAGTTCCGTGTATAAAAATTCAAAGATGGTGGCGCCCCAAGTCGAATGACAGGTACAATCCCCATTTTTTTGAATAGGAAGTATAGGCTTGTGATATATTGTTTGGGATGGTCTCTTCAATCTCTATACAGAAATGTTATCGCTTTTAGGTTTATTGTAACAATTAAGATAAAATAAATTAAAATCATGGTGTTACCAAAATTCGATAAAATACACTCAAAACTTATTGCAATATACTCAAAACTTATTTTATGTTGAGGTACTGATGATGAGATAGTAAGAAAAAACCATGGAAATGTTATTTTTGAATGGTATCCTTTGAAAAAATTTAAATAATTTCCGTGGCAACGTTAGTTCGAAACGCATTGTCAAGTTGTTTTGTATGTTACAACATTAGTTGTCAGTATTTTAATTTAAGTCCAAAGTTCGTTAACTTCAAGTCTGATAAATGGTTAGACTAAAGGAAAAGCATAAAATAACAGTTTTACAAATGATTGGTTACGGAAGTAACCAACAGGAAGTAACTCGCCTATTTCATGAGAAATTTCCTAATTTACCGCCCATATCTCATGGAACAATAAACAAAATAGATGTGATGCTTGAGTTTGAGGAAAACCCACATACATCGAGTAGACAGGCATCCACTATATTCAATGTTAGCCATATATCGATAGTAAACATATTGAAAGAAAATAAAATTCATTCCTGTAAAATGATACCTACTCACGAGCTCATGGAAGACGATGATGGACACATTTGGTAATAATATCATCCAATTAGAAGACGTTATGTTTTCTGATGAGTGTACTTTGTCTCTTGAAAGTCATGCTAATCGGCCTAATTGCCGCTCCTGGTCAACGGAAAATTTTCACTGGATGAGAGAAGAACACACGCAATACCCACAAAAGGTTGATGTTTGGGCAGGAATTGTAGGAAACCATATCAATGGTGCCTTCTCCATTGAGGGCAACTTGACGATAATTATTTGGCACTACTTCAAAATGATGTTGTTACAAATTTAGCAAATTTATATCCTAGACCAGGAAACCCTTAATTTCCAGTGAATACGATATAGTTTCAGCAGGATGAAGCATCACCACATTACCAAGTTTATGTTCGGCAATACCTCGATGCAACATTTCCCAATCGGTGGAGAGGGAGGCTAGGATCGATTGAATGGCCGGCACGATCACCTGATCTTTCATCATTAGNAAATAATCATCGAAATAATATATGCTATATATTTGCAATCTCTTTGACCTAACACGTCACTCAGCAGACTCGCAATTAAACTGTTTAAAATATGATCAGACAAGAAAATTCAAAAATAGAGACACCGACACCCTCTCTTTCAGAAATGACATACTTATAACATTATATAACATACTTATGCTCAAGGATGTCGAAATGACGTTATTTTTTTACAACTTTGCTCCCCACCCCTTTCTTTACGTCACTGTCAAATTGTCAGATTACTGAAATATACACTTTTTAGCAGGTAATTAACTTGCCCTACCTTAATCTGACGCGCTCGAGAATTTTTGATGATCATTTTTTTTTACAAATCTGATCCTTTATCCCACACAGGCGGCATTATATATGGGGATCATATTTGGTGGAGGGATACAAGGTATCCCCCTGTATATTAATCTGCCGCGCTTTAGTAAATTCCGAAATCCCCACTTGGGTTCCCCTATTATTACTACATTCATATCTTCGGAATATAATTCTCACCTTCATCACTCTCTAACCTCACCGTGCCAGAATGAAGGAATTTAGCTAATACAGACATATCATTAGCACCCCATCCAGAAATGGTTCCAGATTCTTGATGGTTGATTACATCTTCTAGTTCATCTTCCTCTATGATGCTGATTGGTGCTACTGCCTCACTCAAGTTGAATTTTGTTTTCAGTTTAATAAGAGCCACATCGTGTGTGATTGAATGTTTCCTGAAATATAAAGATATTTTAATCATGATTTACGAATGGTTTTGGCCCCCATTTGTTATTGTTCTTTGAGGAGAATAGAAGAGTGAACTTGAGTTTTTTCGAGTTTTTCATTTCACTAATTTTTCAGGGTCCTGTGGTATGGTTTAGTTCATTTGGAATTAGAATATATCTGGTATTGATATTATTTCATTTAAATACAATATACCTGTGAAGTTTCTGTTGGAAAAATGGATGAATAAGGAAAAATAAGGGGTGTTCCATTTGAAAGTACTGAATTATTATTGTTTGAAAATTGATATAACTTGACAAGTTCCTTATATAGGGCGTTCTAAGGAAAACTGTGATCCATGAATGGACGTATAATAAAAAATTTGAAAGAACACGTCAATTTTCATTTCTAGGGGGACTAATTCTAGAATGGAAATCATACCCGAAACTTCACCCCCCTGCGGTTAGCAACTACCTCCCTACTTTTTTTAAATGGCATGGGGAGGTTGAGGTTCTTGCTAAGACCATCACTTTGAAGACAGCAAGAACTCCACAAGGAAGAGGAGCCGCCACAACCAGTACTTGTACTTCCCTACATCAGGGGATTATCGGAAAGGATGAGACGGATTGGGTCCAAGTATAACATCAGGACATGCTTCAGATCTGGAACCACTATCCGTAGCAGCCTCACGAAAACCAGGCCACCAAACGCGGACTGCGATTCCAAGAATAACATTTACCGGATACCCTGCGAGTGCGGAAAATCATACATGTATGAAAACTCTAATCAAGCGAAAAATGACCGCCAAACGGTCATCTCCCGCCAAAACCAATTAAGCGGAAAGAGGGAAGAGGGGATATGTGAAAGCACTCGGATGACCTATAAATAGTCAGATCTCGGAGGAATAAGTCCAGTTATCACCCAAAGACGATTGTGGATATTAACAATCGAAACGTTGTGACATAACTTGGTTTGAAATCTTTCATTTTTTAAATTTTTTCAGCTTTCATTAATATTTCAATTTTTATTGACTGGTTGTTGTTGTATGTTACTCCTTTGTTATTTCAGTTTTTTGTTTAATAGAATTGTTATTTTCGGTTATTCTTTTTGATTTTTCTCAGGGTTATCAAATCAATTTATATTATATTATTATGGAAGTCCGAACTAATGAAATACACCACGAAACATTGTCAAACACCTTCAAACAAACGTTGGGATACTTCATGTTTTCTGTTGTGAACAGAACTGATAAGTTTGAAACTTATCTATTAACTGTTCAACGTATTGATGGCTCACGTTGTGGTCTGGATGATGCGTATTATAAATTCTTGCAGCAGCTTTAAAAAATTCATTATTTCGATAAAAGGTTGCAACAATTCCTATTCTTTTTTCAGTAGAATAAATCATGTTGGAATACAGTAAACAAGGATGACTGAATAATAATTCGTGAAGAAAAGAAGTGACAGTGGTTAACTAGCTAATCTTTTGCTCTGCGACAACTAGATTCAACAAAATCTACCAGTGCAGAAAAAACTAACATAATGTTCACTACTGATTCAATTTTTTCTACAAATCTTGAGGATCTGCGCAGTGAATTGCTCGGGAATTCTAATTTCTGACTTCGAACATCTTGAATAAAATACGGAAAGCTTTCGAGAGTGGATTGTATTATTTTATGGAACTATATGGAAATCATTTTGAACACTTTATATGTTGATTGTGTTGATATTGATATTACTTTTGTTGATTCCATCAATTAAATGAGCGACAGCGAATTTTCTGTTTTTTATTTTTTGCATAAAACGTTCAACATTTAATATCTCAATAACGAATCAACCAATTTCGAAAAAAAATACTAAGATAATAGAGAGACAAAAGACCCCTCATACCGTTGAAACAAATAGGGAGGGTAGTTGGTGACCGCAGGGGGGTGAAGTTTTGGGTATGATTTCCATATCAGAATTGGTCCTCCTACAACTAAAAATTGACGTGTTCTTTGAAATTCTTTATTGAATTTCAAACAGAAGTCTTGCTCGGAAAAAGTGAGCATTTTCAAAAGTTATTTCACCTGAGAGCACTAGTATAAAGGAACCTTGTTGACTCACCTTATACATATATACATATGTTCAAATAAAGCTTGAAGGGCCAGCAATTAATTGGTCTAAACTCTGATTTGAATCACGTCTGGTGTTTTCAGGCTTCCACTTCGAAGCTATTTTCAAGAATGTTTGAATGAACTGAGGTTTAAATTTGCCTACTGCTCATGTTGTGGAAGGTGATGGCACACTTCAAGGGTTTTGTGACAACTCCCCAAGTCTTGTCGCTGGTATCCGCAATTGTCTCAATCTGCACACAGAGTCGAAACTTGCGGAGACAATTGACGAAATCTGAAGTGTAGACGGTTTGAGACCCCGGCGTCAAGTCATGGAATCCTCACACCGTGTCACTCGCTGAGGAGTGGGCAGATTGTAGCCCTTGCGGAGACCATTGACGAGACCCAGGAAGTAGGCAGATTGAGACCCTGGCGTCAAGTCACTAAACCCTTGAAGCGTGTCATTATCTGAGGAGAAGGCAGATTGTGGCCCTCGCGGAGACCATTGACGAGACCTGAGGAGAAAGGAGATCGAGACCCCGGGGTGAAGTCATAAAACTTCGCAACGTGTTACTATTTGAAGAGTAGGCAGATTGTGCCCCTTGCGGAAACCAGTGACGACACCCTGAAAGTAGGCAGATTGAGACTTCAGTGAAGAGTCAAAAAACCCTCACACGGTGTCACTATCTGACGAGTAGCCAGATTGAGACCCTAGCGTCAAGTCGCGGATCCCTTAAAGCGTGTCACTATCTTAGGAGTACGCAGATTATGGCCTTTACAGAGATCATTGACGAGACCTGTAAGTAGGCAGACTGTGACCCCGACGTCAAGCCACGAAAGCCTTGAAGCGTGTCAATATTTGAGGAGCAAACAGATCGAGACTTCAGTGTAGTCATACCTTCTTGTTTTTGTCCAATAACTGAAAACACCAGACTCGTTTCAAAGCAGGTGTCCTTCATTATAATTATTATTTGATGAATATTTATGAGAAAACCACTACTCACTTGTGCCCATAGAGGGGATGTATGAATGCTTCTTCAACTTTCGATAGCTGCATATCATCGGTAGGATTTTCCATATCGACAAATCCTGCATAGATTTCTAGGTCGTCAGAATTATCCACGACACAGTGTGCAGCAGTGATGATCCAATCTTCGCTGAGAATAGCCCCACCACAGAAGTAAATATTTCGGAACATGATTGAAACTATGTACGGAATCTCATCTACTTCCACCTCCTCACCTCCATATACTCTCAGATTTTGTTCGAGTCCTCTACAACTTTCTGGAAAAATTATACATGAAGGAAAGTGTATCAGTCAGTGTTCTGTAGACTTGTATAGCAGAGGACGTGAACATAAACTATTGTGCTACTTGGGTGAAGGATTCATGAAACTACATAAAAACAATTGATTTTTTGCCAACGCAACGTTTCGAACTTTGTTAATTCCGTTTTTGGGGCTTTTAGTTCTCACATGACTTCTCTATTCTTACAGCTTTGAATGTTTTGGGCCAGAATAATAGTTGGTCCAAGTTATTTTACTTTTTGAATTCTTACTAGAATCGTACATTGAAAGGTAAGACCCCGGTAATTCTAAGCTCGAACAATTAGGACTTTTCCGAGTTGTCCAGAAAACAGCATTTTCACAGATTTTTCACAATTATATTACGTTTTATCATTGATATGGAAGTAAACAACTTTGAAATATATCGAACATACATCAAAACATCACAAATGGGAAAGGAAGTTTTTGGCTTTTTACTACTCCATCTTGATACAAGATGGAGTAGTAGAAAGCCAACTTTCTTTCCCAAAAATTATTCACTCCTAAAAATATAACCCCTTCAATTCATCACAAATGAGTATTGATGAAACATTATGATGCATCAAGGTTACCAACAATGTGCCAGAAACACTGGTGTGATTTAGCAAAAATATATGATACTGCAATTATTTTTCTGCATGTCGTTATATCTTTTCGTATTTTGGAGGTTGATGAATTTGTAAATTACTCACCTGTAGTGAATAGTCCTAGGAGAACCACATTTAATATCGTTACCCTCATTTCATAAGATTTTTTCTTTTTCTCGAATCACACTCATATGCAATTGGTAAGAGTTGCCTGATTTTCCAAACCCACTGTTGAAAAAAATCAAATCTCAGATATAAATATATTTTATGACTTCTTTTGTTTGGAACACCATTAAAATGAAATTGATTGGTTCTTATCGCTTGTACTGACGTATTGTAATAATTGGATATTCATTCCATTTCTACTTCGATTTTTATTCTTTACGACCGGTTTCGATTCATTAAACCATTATCGAGTAAACTTCTAGAATATAAGGTGTATCGAATTGAGACTTGGTATGGGTGGTAGCTTCCGATTTCAACATGTTCTTGTTTCTGGAGCGATTCTGAATCAGACTATGACATTTTCAAAAACTTTTATGCCTACTTCATTTCTTCAGTCATTTGTGATGGCCATAATTTAAGGTTAGGTACTATACGGACCTTAGATTATGTTGAAAAATCACAATCAAGGTTTCAATGATAGATAGATGATAAGACATGTTGGAAAACTTACATTTTCGTGTTCAATCATCATTTTTCGATTTGTGACTAATTTTGACAAGCACTTTCTAAAAAATTAAAGATTTTGGTCGAATCCAACAATACTAATTCATTTGCGATTATATTGGAATTAAGAACAACTTGAATATTACTGAGAAAAACACCCAATTCAATATAACTGGGAGAAATATTGAAAAATAATTTACTTTTTCTTTTTTTTCGAAGACAAAACACAATCACTACAGGAAAATCCTCAAGGTGCTCTAATAGAAGTGCCTGTACGAAAGTAGCGATTCACTATGGATTTGAATCGCTGGATATCAAATCCATTATCAGAAAGTTCAGTCCACATAAACGCAGTTCTCCAAATGGAAAAGTTTTGAGGTGTGCTGAGTTGAACCTCAACACGATAAGCCACAGTTCGTCGCGTATTTCTGGTATGTGCCGCTCTTGGTGGAATCGAATGTGCCAAGTGTTGTATTAGTACATATTTCATGATATAAGCTTAGAGGGTGTTGGCAACACTGAAAGGAGGAGGTCAGAACGGAAGATTGTAACATGGTGGCTGGATGTAAAACAAGACAGAAAAATAAACTGTATTCATAATAGTAATGTTGATCTTGGTCTTAATTATTCGGGTAACGAATAGAACACCAAGTCACTTGAACACCTCCCGTGAAAGTATCTATAAAGAGAGACAAATCTCCAACCTTTGTTCAATGTTCCAGACTATGAAAGTTGAAATTGCTGTTCGTGTCTCCAATCAGGTGAATGGCTTTCTCCTGGATGGAATCCAGCAGCTTCAGATAATGCTTAGAGGTGGAGCTCTATACATGAGAACAACACTCCAAAGAAGGTCTGATCTGAGCTTTATAAAGCATCAAAAGTTACTGAGGTGTGTACAATTTTCTGATTCGAAACTGTGTTTCAAATTTTAAGTTCTGTAATTCCAGCGACATGATTGTGCCAAGACATATTGGTGTCAATTATCGAAGCAGAAAGCGGAATTGTTTGTCTGGGCATTATTATATCTGGCTACTTCCTGGCTACTTCCTGGCTACTTCCACCCCAATTCGAAATTACTTCCAGATCCACATTAAGTTATGCAATCTCCTTTTACCGGTGAAGATGTGCATCCACAACCGATGTCCTGGAATCCAAATGGAAGGACGAGACAAGTGTTCTGTCGTCAGCAAAGCAAGATATTGTAATCCTGGTTTTTTTCCATTGAATTGTTGATATACAATAAAAATGGGGTTGAGGACAATATGGATTCCTGGGGAACACCTGCGTTGATGGTAAAATTATTCGAGAGATATCCATCAAGAGCCACTTGCAGGGACTGTTGTTTAGGAAGCTGGAGAGTCATACACAAAAATGATGAGACAAACCATGGCATCGAAGTTTGGCCAGAAACTCGTCTTGCTACACACGGTCAAAGGCCTCAGAAATATCAAGAGCAACAACTTTTGACCCACCATGTTTCTTGATTGCGTTATTTCAAGTATGGATGATATACGATAAAAGGTCGCCTGTTGATCTTCGTTTTCGGAAGCCATATTATTGATCGCTAAAGATGTTGAAGCCTTTCAAATATTTAAGGATGTGGTGGTTTACAGCTTTCTTCAGTTTCATGCGTAGTATTTCACATTCACAGTTGATATCATGATGATGATGATGTTGCTGATGGGAAGGCTTACTTGTTCAGTCAAACGCGCATCAGGAGTCAATTTTTTTGTTCTGGCGTGGTGGGTGGGTTTTTATCAATAGAAACATGTCACGCCAGACGTCCAATTACACATAATAAATCACTCAGGTGATGACAGTGACATAGGATCTATGAGAATACAAAGGACTTTACTCGATTCCCGTTAAGTTTCTGTTTCCTTTTTCCTCAAAATTATATCTGTTAAAAGTGAAGAAGCTGATTGGTGTAACTACCTGAAAGATGTATTCGAAATTTAAGTAATTTTGCTCAATTGTATGCTCAGAGAACTTCCATTCAGCAATGTCCAGTCCATCAGTACTTTTCTCATGGATGCGAAAGCTTCAATTAACGTTTTGCTGTGGTTGGGAACAGCTTCTTTGGAAATTGAAATATCTGTTCACAATATCATTATGGTTACCATCGAATATTTCTCAGAAGACAGATGCACATATCAGCCCAGATGGTTACATGTTTCCCGAGATGATCAGGAGGCCATCTACTAGCTAATACATGCAGTGAGCAGTCAATATAGGGCGCCTGTCTGAAATACGTCACAACACACCAAGTTCTCAAGCCACAAACTCGTATTCTCACGTAACTGGCGAAGACAGTCAAAAATTTCTCAGAAGACAGATGCACATATCAGCCCAGATGGCTACATGTTTCCTGAGAGGATCAGGAGGCCGTCTACTGGCTAATACTTGCAGTGAGCAGCCAAGATAGAGCGCCTGTCTGATATACGTCACAACAGACCTAGTTCTCAAGCCACAAACTCGTATTCTCACCTTACTGGCGAAAACAGTTGAATATTTCTCAGAAGACAGATGCACATATCAGCCTAGATGATACATGGTTTCTGAAAGGATTAGGAGGTTGTCTACTGGCTGATACTTGCAGTGGGCAACCATGATGAATTGCATCACAACCGACCTAGTTCCCAAGCCAGAAACTCGTGTTCTCACCTAACACGCGAAGATAGCCGAATATTCGTCAGAAGACAGATGCACATATCAGCCCAGATGATACATGGTTTCTGAGAGAATCAGGAGGTCGTCTACTAGCTGATACTTGCAGTGAGCAGTCATGATAGGGCGTCTGTCTGAAATATGTCACAACAGATCTAGTTCCCAAGTCACAAACTTGTGTTACTCAACTGGCGAAGATAGTTCTAGACTGATGAGGGTCAGTTCCTCATTAGATATCGGAAACTATAATATGGTTTCGAAGGACGTTATTCTTCACGAAGGAATTTTACCTCAATATCGATCAGTCAACTGTAATCTCGTCAGTATGTCGTTATGACTACCATAGAGGATATGGCTTGGATGGCTACACTTTACGTGCGAGCTCCATTAGGAAACTGTATATATGCAGCCTGGTTTGAATAGTTGTGTGTCACAATGAACCCTTATAGGTTTCTACGGAAGATTGAATAGATTTACTCACTTTGGGGTCACCTTTCTCACCTAGCCTTAGTGATGCCCACTCCGCATGGACCAAAGAGGCGGTGGTGCAATTTCCATAGGGACTACCAATTTATATAGGATGAAGTTTCATTTCAGAAGAATATGCATCAAAACAAACCATGATGATTATATAATCACCACATTAAATTTAATTCCAAGAGCGTTTCGTTACACGGTAGCTCCATCAGTAATACAATGTTCTTCATCTATGAAGAAATAAAAAACTTCGTGAAATTCTCATTTTTTATTAGTTCCCAACTATAACCTTCATCAATTAGACTCCACACTTCGAGGAACCGATGCAGAAATATCAAATTTGAAGTTAGGGAAGAATGAATTATACCCTCTTCTTTGTTTATCGGATTTGATAACCTTTGTACTCAATATCCATGCTTCGTGATTATCCAAGCTTTCATCATAATCGCTCCTACATGTATCCTCCAGTGAATTCCCAGCTTTCCAACGTCGAGGATATCTGAAGTTGAAAGATATTCTGAACAGCTTGTTTCCTTGAGGTGAATGGACCGATTGAAAAACCAAATCGATTTCGATGAAATCGTCTGTGGTGATCATATCTCTTGCTAGCGGATCGTCATCAGGAAGTAAATGTGGGATATAGGATCCTATAAAACTTCTTATGGATGGGACGCTGGCATGAACTGAGGAAAGGGATGGTTGATTTTCATTCCTATTTTGTTTTCCGTGTATGATGAAACCTCCTAACTTATTCATTATCACCAAGGGGCCTCCACTGTCCAAGTATCCAGTAAACATAGTTGAATTTTCCGTTGAACTGCAAAGCTGAACTCCAGAAATGACCTCATTGTTGGTTGGTAAAAGTTTCGCACATTCTAAAAAATTGAAGGAGAATGTTATTTGTGATGTACTGTTTGGAACCTTTGTTGTAGTAACGAATATTTCTACACCATAAGTTCAATCTTTCTCCTGAAGATGATCACTCAGTGATTGAAACGGTTTGGTGTTGTGATTGAACTCCAGTAATATTCATCACTTCACCAAAGGTTCCAAACAAAGTATCAGAAGGAAATAAGAGTAGTTGAAAACTAGAATAGCTTCATGCAGAGTAATTTGTGAGCAGCTTCGTTCAGATGTCTGAACTCTGAACTCAAATACCAGTGATTGGGAGTTCAAATCACATCCACATAATTTTGAGTTACACTCAATTCCCAAATTATCGGGAATTTGATGAAATAACAAAGATATGGATTGGTTTTGAGTGCCTTTGAACTTTTCTTCTTCTTTCGAAATAAAATTGTATCACTGTCATCCAAAATGTCCCTCACAAATGAATTTCACTTCAAAATTGAGGGTGATTCGGCAATGAACAATTAAAATATTTCTATTATAAGTCATAGATGAAGTAGTGTATTTCATTTGAAAGAAATAGCGGACCTATTATACAAGCTATCGCCTCTATACAATGGAAGTCGTATCAAGGTCAGCCAGAAATGGATTTCTGAGTGAGATGAGGAGATAGATGGTAACACTGGTACATAATATGGTGTTTTTTCAGTTTTAAGTTTTTTTGCACCTGACGTGTCAGTTGGTGACCAGGCCGAAACTTCCGTCAATTGAGACATTGTGAACGTAGAATAAAAAAAACCGTTTTTTTTTTGTTTCGTGATATTTTTAGGAGCTGTTCCTCAAGATGAACTGTTGAAAGTGAAAATCTATGAGTCTGTTTCAAGTGACTACTAGATGGTTTTTACGTTCATAAAACTTGCTAGTTAGTATAAATTGATCTGATTAACGGAAAAACAGATTTTAAAACAGATTTGAACCAACAAAATCAGTATAGTACTTCAGATGCGTTAACTGAGGAAAAATTAACCTTCGTTGCTGAGTAAATCTACATTTCCAGAAAATAATGTATTAGATACAGCCGCATCAGCAGATTCATTACAGCCCCAACTTGAGATGAGAGCAGGTTCTTGATGCTCTATGAGACTTTCCAGTTGACTAGGAGTGAGTATACCAACAGACTCAACAGCTATATTGAAGTTGAGTTTTGTCTCGAGCAGTAAAAGAGCGACATCATACTGCATAGACACGTTTCTGAAACAGAGAGAAATCAATCATTATCATGGAGAAAGATTCGGTATTCACTTAATTCTCAACATTTCTACGGTTTACCACTAGATTATTGTTGATAAAGTTGGGAAGTATTTGTAATACTACCAAGAAGGCCTAGTTTATGTCAACTCAAGGAGTTCTGACTTTTAATTACTGTTGAAGATTAGAAAAAATTAAAAAGTTGCCACTCATGGAATGATTAGATTAGATTTGACCGTCCATCCGACCAAATAAATCCAGCTTCTTGACGAAGTTGACGAAGAGCAGGAGCATGGAAGATGCGCTCTGCTATTTCATAATTTTCCAAACAGAAATAACACGTACTGTCTTCCTGAATTCCAAGACATTGCAGACATCAGGGACCTGTAAGTAGACATGCCCAACAAGATAGTTCCCCCTGCCATCATAATAATTTCAATGGACCACTTCTGATAGATTTTGATAGAAGTCCGTATTTCTTTTTGCGGTCCAGTTGTTCAGTGTTTGTGTGGCAAAGCCTGAAACGATGCCAATAATAGATTCTGATCCGATCACACCACTTGCAGCACCCTTTCTTGCAAAGATGTCAGCAGCTTTGTTATCTTCCAGGCAAGTGTGACCAGGAATTCAGACCAGAGATAATTTATTGAGTCATCCTATCGAGGAGAGTCTCTTTTGGCGTTCGCCACCAACTTAAATATTGCTTGGTGAGAGCCAAGAGCGTACAGGACCATTTGACTATCTAAGGATATTTTCATCGATTTATGTATGAGGTTGGATTCTATCAAATCTCTCCACAAACGAATCGATAGCAAACATTTCCTCTTGTATTAACGCCACATAGGTTCCTAGCCAGTATGATATCTCTGTTTTAAAACTGTATAAACTTGAAGCAGAGCCTGCAAAGGTTTTTGATAAATCAGTAAACCAACAGTTTTCTGCTCTCAATATTACCTTCTTCCCCTGGAGGATCACATCTCTTCGATGCTAGGGAGCAGCACTGTATGAGACGTATTGTGATTGACAGTTGGAAGCATTAGGTCATAATTCTGTGTGCAGTCCTTCTAGCCTCTCTCTCCAGGCAGTTTTGTAGAGGCGTCAGGTCTACAAGGATTTTTGTGGCCATCTGTATCTGTTTGGAGTCCGAGTTCGAATATTTTCCACTGATCGTTCGACATGTCCATACGAAAAGTCTGGCTGCTTTACATTTTTGGAATGAGCGTTTCAGATGAGTTTTCTATTGAGAATAACACCTGAATATTACTTATTAGACTACAACAGTTTTGGTGAAATTTGTAGACAACCGCTTCCTTTGCTACCAACTGTTAACAATGTCCAACAGGCCTTTTGGTGGCTACCTTTTTCGAAGTGGTCTTTGTGACGGTAAAACGGTAACCTTACAGATCTATTTTTCTTCTGTCGAAGACATCGAGGAGGCTATTTATCAGGAATAATAACATTGGGGGAAATTACTTCACCTTGCTGTTGTGTTTTACGAATATAACGAGAGATTTCTTCTCCCAAAATGACATGATGTTATGAATGGAGGAGACCTTCATCTTGTGATGTTTGCTAGATTGGTGCTGAAGAGACAATAAGACAAAAATGTTTTTTCTATAGTGTTCATATGGTAGTTGGTGTTCAAAAAGTACTTTTTCTCTGGTGTAACTCAATGTTTTTCTTCCAGTATATGCCTGAAAGCAATTCCTATGCATGATATACATATCTTTGTGAATAATTCACTTTGACTTCAATTGATTTCTGTAAGTTTCCCATATTTTTGTATAGAAATGGAGAAGTTGGAAGCCAGAAGATCTATCTATTTTGAAAATATATTTCACAGTGGTTATCATGGTGAAACTTGGAAGGAACTAGAAATGAGTTTTTAAAAGTTATCTGTGTGCGCTGGAAGACAAAGAATGGGAGGAAGATCAAACAGTTTGATCTTCTTCTTGGGGATGATTACTTGGAGATCGAAACACGTGTCGAGGTGTTAAAATAACGGTTTGGTGTTGGGAAAGAACTCCAGTAATATTCATTACTACACCAAAGGTTCCAAACAGTGCATCACAAGTTCTACATGAGTGATACCACATTGAAAAATAGCAGATAATATTGAATCATTTCCATGAATCCATTTCCTTGTATATCGAGGAGCCTCTGGCATTCATTTTCAATATGTGTATGGATACAGGTTTCTGGCCAACAGCACTAAAAAAAACAATAATATTAGGAATAATAACATTGAGGGAAATTACTTCACCTTGCTGTTTTGTTTTACGAATATAACGTAGAATAAAACAAGATATTTCTTTTCTCAGATTAGGAGAGATTCATTTTCTGGAAAGTTCTTCATCTCGTAATGTCATTTAGACTGGTGCTGATGAGGCAATAAGACAAGTGTCTTATTCCGAAACATCAAATGTCCGGCATTGGGGACGACAGTGTTTCATGAAAGGAAAAGTTTTCATATAGTATATATGAATAGAAAAAAGTGTTTTTTCTATAGTATTCATACGGTAGTTGGTGTTCAAAAAGTACTTTTTCTCTGGTGTAACTCAATGTTTTTCTTCCAGTATATGCCTGAAAGCAATTCCTATGCATGATATACGTATCTTTGTGAATAATTCACTTTGACTTCAATTGATTTCTGTAAGTTTCCCATATTTTTGTATAGAAATGGAGAAGTTGGAAGCCAGAAGATCTATCTGTTTTGAAAATATATTTCACAGTGGTTATCATGGTGAAACTTGGAAGGAACTAGAAACGAGTTTTCAAAAGTTATCTGTGTGCGCTGGAAGACAAAGAATGGGAGGAAGATCATAGTTTTTTAATTGGCAATGGAGATAAATGTTGAATAACCACATATTTTGATTGAGAAAATCAAGTGTTCTATAATATTTACCTGTCAACGTAAAGAGGATGTATGAACACCTCCTCAACTCTTCTCTTCTGTAGATGTTTCCCAGGATTCATCAAATTAACTAGTCCAGCTTGGATTTGTAGGTTAATCTGCCTCTCTACGCAGTGTGCAGATGTGATTATCCAGTTTTTCTCAATGATCGTCCCCGCACAGATGTGATTATTATTTTGAATGATAGAAACTACGTAAGGTACTTTCTGGTACTTCATTCGATGGAGTCCATAGTTTTTCAGACTTGGAGTTTCATCATCAAGAGTTGAACAATCTGGAGCCAGTAAAATAGAAACGTACAAGTAGGAGTTAAAGGAGTTGGAGGGAGAGAAGTAAAATTATCAAAAATGTTTGCCATGAAAGTTTTAGGTATCAATGCAAAATGGTTTTGATTTTGAATTATACCCAATATACAAATAACTGAGTCAAAGAGTTGCTCTTGATAATAGAATTACGATAAAAAATAATTTCAGAAGATATAGAATGAAGTAGGATTGTACCTCGTGAAGAAAGTATGACCTTAACTTTCTGAGGCTTAGCCGTTGAGGTTATTTGAGACTAACAATTCATTTGTGGTTCAGTCTTGTATCACTGGTGAGAAATAGGTGGGTCGAAACAGTGCTGACTGATGGTGGATAATGAATGCTTTTTTTGACACATGTTTCGATGAGAAATCATGATGACGACTTCCCTCAGAAGTGCTTCAACAGAAGAAGATCGACTGAGGATGATGATAGTTCCATCAGCCGTTTTTGTCCATTCAGAAGACATTGCTTGGGGCAATGAGTTTCGTGCTTTCAAACAGAATCCTGTGGTATTCCTCAGTGGGTGCAGGTTCCACAACCGACTTGTGAATCCCATGAATCTTTTGGTGGTTCCGACGTATACATTCCCATAAGTGCGCAGTATGCGATTTACCCCTACTGCTGATAATGGATCCTCTCTGTCTTCAGCCAACCTGAGGATTTGTTGTAATTCCCTGATGGGTTTGAAAACTATTTTAATGTTGTATTTCCCCAAAAGTTTTCCAATTCTGTCTGTGACGTGCAACCAGCTGAGCCTCCCCCAGGATTTTGAACAGTGGAACTCTTAAGTTCCATGGCCTTGTTGATCTCGAGTACACTGCACCCATTCTATCTAAAGGTCACTTGAAGATGTTCTAGTTTTTCCTCTAGATACTATGGTTCACATATTCTTGGAGCCCGTTCCGTTAGAGTAGAGCTGACTCCTCTCTTTTGATTGAGATGGTGGTTTGAAAATGCCTCAAATTAGTCAAATATTTTGAAGAATTTGCCTGAATTTTGTGGATCTTGGGCCAGAATATATTCTTGAAAAAAAATTTGTAATATTGGGCAAATGGGATCTCTCTGAAATGTGAGTATTCATCAAACTCGATATGTATTTCACTTACCAGGAAATAGAGCAATCGCTAACGATAAGGACTAAGCGTTCAGAACTTATCGCCATCTAGTGACAAGAATCTCAACTTTCTGATCGTACTCATAAAGTTTGAATCTGAAATTGAATAATTTCTGAAGACGGAAATGCTTCATGTCAATGAAGAGGTGAGAAACTCACTGTGAGGAGTAGAAATAGAAGTAGAAAAAGCTATAGCCAGCTCTCAGTGAACTCCAATCATTTCATGTCTGAAATACGCAGGTGATAATTTTGATAATGTATCCTTAACGAATTGTAGACGACTAATGTCACCACCCTTTCACTGCAACATTTCATTATGAGGATACTGTTTTTTTGAGGAGTTTGAGAAGATTGCTTGGTAGTGCTGCACATTTTGATATACTACATGGGCTGAAAAGTCTCGGCCCTAACACATAGATGGCGTTAGTCTTATTGCATTGACCGTTATTTTAGTAAGTGCTAACCTTCAAAAGAAAGCCGTTGAAATTTCATTATATTCTACTGACAAGTTTGTGAGTTTTTGTGCTGAGTTACACTACTTTTGTTATTTTTGAAATAATGGATCAAAACCGATTTCGTGTTTTAGTTTTACAGTGCTTCTTGATGAGAAAAATAACCGTTCAAACGAAGCAATAGATTTGAAGGTATTTTGAGGACTCTGCTTCATCAGAAATAACAATTGAACGTTGGTTTGTTGACTTCAAACGTGGTCGTAGAGACACCGATGATGCAGATTGCAGTGGACATCCAAATGAAGCAGTAACATCAGAAAACATTAAGAAAAATCGAAAAATCGTTTTGAATGTTCGAAAAGTGAAGTTACGTCAGTTAGCTGACATTATAAAGATATCAAAATAATGTGTTGGCTTCATATTGCATGAGAATTTGCGCGAGCTCACTATTGACCAAAAGCAAGAACGTATTGATGATTCTGAACATTGTTTGGCCATATTCAAACATAGCAATACCGAATTTTAGGTCGATATGTGACAATGTATGAAACAAAATGGTTTAGACTTTCGCGGCTGGGGTTTTCAATGTCATTATTTTTCGAGTTTGAAAGCCGTGGATTTTTGGAATTTCTTCCTAGGAAGCACGGCGCTGTCCGTCGCCTGATGGCGATGGGTAGTAGCATCGCCCACTTGTCCAGCTACAACCAGCATACTGAAGGTGCTCTTTGTTCGATTTCAAGGAAATTCCAGTAGATGTCGAGCAGTGACAGAAACATGTCTATCACTAGCAGTTCTGACGAAGAAGGCGGCATTATAGTGGCCGCATTATTGAATGAAGAAGACTATACTCACAAAAAAAACGTTGTGAGTACATCTCATTATCCAAAAAAGGCAAATCTGGGAGAGTTTCATCATCTTTTCAACGACCTGAAAGAAGACAAGGAGAAATCTTTCTAGTAATTCCGAATTACTCCAAGTATATTTTCAGAACTTCTGGAAATTCTAGTGTCAGCCTCAACAAGCAACTCAATTTTCCTCGTCCATTTTCATAGGTACCGTCTAACACTATGCTGTCAACTGATGGAATAGCAAAACAGAGAGACAGTAACTTCCCAGGCACGATTAGACAAGTTGATGCTGGCAAGCGCTGCCCGGCGACGCGCTGACTTGGCCAATCCGTCACAGCACGTACCGTTATTTGCCGGAAAGGATCGTAGAGCTGGAATCCTTTCCGGCGGCTGACGCTCTCGGCTATGCCGTGCCGGGCTAGTGGGCGGCTATTCATTCATTTTCATTGTTCCAATCCTATACGTATTTTGACGGAACTGGCCGTGCTGTACTGTGCCGGACAATGGGCGACAAGCTTTACACGTCACGCAAATATTATTTGCTATACTTTTATCTTCCTGCATTTTCAAGTGAATTGTTCGGAGGGGGGTACGCCGTACGAAATGGCAGGTAGAAATTTCGACTATGAGACGTAACTCGAAGGTACCATTTAGGGATCAAGGAAGGAACTCGGTGTACTCACTGACCACCGGACGAAACTCTTGAAGGGTCATTAAATAAATTCCCAGTATTTTTTGCTGTCCTTTCGTTATTCACTACCTGACTGATACCTTATCCCCACTTTTTCTTCCCTACCTAAAAATACGTACTAGCGGTAATATTATTCTATGGCCATTCTATATGAAATGTTGAGCAACACTGGACTTCTCTCGTCTATGAAAACGGATTAGTGAAACATGTTGCTTGTACCAAGCTATTACAGTCCAATTGCAATTGGTAATAAAAATGCGTTGGAAAGATAAGTTAGGCATAAAGCACTAACTTTGTTGAGGTTTGGCTGAATTTGAGAAATCGGCAAATGCCAAATTTTAGAAAAACCGTAAAAAAATTAAATTTGTACTAGAGAGCTAAAAATTGGTATATGGATGAATAATGAAAAAACAATAATCTTTTCTCTTTAACGATTTTCGAAATTTTGAGCAATAACTGCTTTTCTGAACATTTTTTGGAAAAAATGTTAAATTTGACAGGGAAGAAAAATCACTTGATCGGTCATATGCATGTCATTTGGCATCATTTTTGAAGCACAACCTAGTGGAGATATCAAAAGTTGCTTGAAGAGATGAACAAAAAAAATTCTCATTTGATGCGTTGTGCATGATATTTCTAAGGCCTTTGACATTATGTGCCATGAGAGTTTGCTGGCCAAATTTCGATGCTATGGCTTGCTGGATCATTTTTCTGTATGGTTCATCAGCTTCATGAAAAAACGTTCCCTGCAAGTGGCCGTCGACGAATATCTCTCGAAAATTTTCACCATAAACTCTGATATTCCCCAGGAATCCATATTGTATCCAATCCTCTTTTTATTTTGTTGACGACAGTACACTTGTCTGCCATTTGCATTCCAGGACATCGGCTGCGGATGCAGATCTTTACCGGCAGCAGTGGGTTGCATATCTCAATGAGGATCTAGAAGTAATTTCGAATTGGGGTGAAAGTAACCAGGTTCAATTCAATTGCCTCAAAAACCCAGGCATCGGTTTTCTCCAAAAAGATAAATCTCTTCGAACCGGAAATGAATATTTCAAGACAGACGATCAGACGATTTTGTTTTCTGCTTCGTCAGTTGGGGGTTCAAATGGACGCCGATACGTCTTGGCACAATCATGTCGCTGAAATTGCAAAGGCTGCTTTTTAAAAACTTGGAACACTGTTCCGAATCGGAAAACTGTACAAACCTCAGCAACTTTTGATGCTTCATGAAGCTCAGATCAGACAAGAATATCACTTGTAATATTGATAGTCTGGAACATCAAAGATGGGTTGGAGATTTGTCTCTGTTTTATAGATACTTCCACCAAAAGCTGTACATATCGGAAATACGCAACAGACTGTGCGTGTTCATCATTTTGAGGTTCTACTCAGCGCACCTGCAACTTCACTGTTTAAGAACTCTTTCGGGCAAATGTGTTCATGTAGAATGAACTTCCTCTGAACGTTTTTCCAAATGAATTGAGTCTCCAGCGATTCAAATCCAACGTGAATCCAGCAGTGCTTTTGTTTTGTCCTTAAAAAAGCCGGAGTACAATCAACGTATGAAACTGTGAGCATTTCAAGTATTTTTGAGCACTCAATTCCATTTTTCACACAGACCACATACAATGGATCGCGATAGCTATTGTATAACCAAACACGTGTTGAGGTTTTGTGAACTGTCTAGTCAAAATCTCACATCTTATAAAAATGTAGAGTGTAGAGATGTGTTGTCTTTCAGTAAGCTCTTTAATATAAATCACACACTGTATGAAAATGCTTGAGATAGCTATTGTATTTCATCGAATATCAACCGATTCCATCACATGAAAATAATGACATCGCAAATATATAGAAAAAATTTTCAATAACGTTCAATATTTAATATTCACAAATTATTCAATGTGTTCGAATGTGATATATGGGGTAATAAAAAAACTGTTGAATATGTCGATAGAAAAGCCGATTTCGGGTCGTTCTGGTGATTTGACGACAACGATGTTCATCCTTATTCTCTTGTTCTTAATATTTCCCTCATTCAGCGGATCATTGGTTACGGCATCTGAAGATTCTATTTCATAATCACTTTGCTTCAATGTAACTTCTTCAACAAATTCAAATTCCTGCTCGGTTTGGTTTTCCTCACTTCCATTGTTCCAGATTCTGTATGATAGTCTATAAGACTCTACAGTGTATTTTGGACTCGTTACATTGTTGTCGACATCAGATGCATTGAGCTTGTTGAATATTATTTCCACGTCAAATATAGGATCCTCAATAGGCTTCTCAGCAACAAATAATTCTGGAATGTGGCTCTTGATGAATTTGACGTAATGTGGTACTCTTGCATAGACGGATGATAGAAAGCTACATTTCTTATTTCTCAAATATCGGCCTTGTAGGATGATTCCAGCTAATTTGTTCCTCACGACCAGAGGTCCTCCGTCATCTCTCAAGCCTGCTCCATTGAAAGAAATTCCATTCCCGGAGCACAAATGAATTTCAGGATCGAATTCTACACAGCTCTGGTTCATCGACATTCTGGAGCATTCTGAAAAAAAAAATTACTAATAGTTCGGTGAAGGGTTGTTTTAGCGTTCAAGGGTAATGAATAATAAAAAAGGTTTCATTAGTAGTCTGCCATATGGATCAATCAACCAACAATCAGACAGCTATACATACAGCTATATACAAAAAACCTAAGTTTGATCATTACAAACGTTTTCAAGGATTCAAACTTTCATCCAGAAAGCTACATTATGATGTGTGGCGGGTTGGTTGTCCTTGTTCATCTTTCACTGCCTGAACCACTGTGCAAGCTGTTTTTGGCGAGTACATTGGCTTGGAACACACCGGCTATCGAATGCCTGCTTCCACGTAGCCCCGCTGGATACGGGAATGACAGAATCACTTGTGGTTCTGTTATTTCCTAACTGAATGGCACCCCAACGATAACTCAATCCTAAGGAGTGTGTATCTGTGCCGAAATGAAGGATGACACTGAGCCTATCAGCTGTCTCTACGGAACCCTCGAGATACTGGACGCCCTCTCGTCGTAGCATCGCCATGTCACGCTAATGCGGGGCTCTGCCGTCACTGACCTTCTTTCCCTAGGTACTCGTGGGTCTTTTATGGACAGAGTGAGAGCGAGTCTACAGAGGAGATGGATGTCGAGTTTACGACTTTAACTGACCTCCCTGTAAATTTAGTTCAGGAGCGAGAGCTTCCCAACTCCCCAACTCCTGATCCAATAACTGAACCTTGAAAAAAGGTTTGGTGGTGCAGCCAGGAAACGACTGAGTCGTTTTCTCGAGAGCGGGGTACCTTATGAAACCGCCTTGCACCAAATTCTTGACCTTCTTATGCAGAATCTGTCTCAGGTAGAGGAACAAACTTCCCATGAGCAAGTTAGCAAACGTTTGCGCTCAAATGATGATTCACCAAAACCAGAGGCGAAAAAGTCCTGTACGGTTGAATATAAAGCATCGCCAGGTATAGCTGTCGTGCAGAAACCCTCATATGGAAAGGTTGTCGCGGGTATCAAGGTGGGAATCTTGCACCTTGACTATTTGACTAACTCATTAACGATGAAACAGCAGAGCATATACTTTGTGCCTGCCTCGCTGGGGACCATACTAACTAATTGGCTTCGTTACGAAGTTGGTTTTATTTGGTTGAGTGTAAATATGAATGAGCCACAATAAATCCTTGCGGGTTGCGGTGGAGTGTCGAATAGACCCACTAACTCAGGACCTAACCTAACCTAGCGGATCTGGAAAATATACAAACTGAATAGAAAATATGATCGTCTCATTGGAAAAATCTACTGATTTAACACATATTCAACCCTACATTCAGAGCGATTATACTTGATAATGGTGAGGAACTTGAACCAAGATTTTTTTTTGAGAGTTGATATCAGGTCTCTACTTTTGTTTGAGGTTGCCTTGATGTCTGTAACCTAAAACAGGTAACTGTTTTTACAGGTAGTGTTTCTACAGCTCCTCTACTTGACCTGATTGTCATTATTCAAAAATCGAAAACACATATTTGGTCAACTATTTCTTTCCTATTCATCATCACCTCAGCAAATTTCAGGAAGTTTAACGTTATGTCACGAATTTTTCGTCGGCATGTGTAACTCAATAATCCTTGATATTTGTTTCAGTAGTATAATGATCAACCTTACAATATATTACCAAAACGTTATTTCAACTCCTTACACGTGTTTCGATCACGAAGTGATCATCTTCAAAAGGATGATCAAACTAACTAGTTCAATATTCCTCAAGCACTTGAGGAAGCTATTGTATAACGAAACACGTGCCGCGGTTTTTGTAAAACCCTTTATAGTGAAAATCATACAATTATCTGTATTAATGAGTTTTAATATGGATTTTCATCGAGTATCAGCCAGTTCTATTCAATTTACTGATAGTTTGGTGACGGGATATTTCAGTGTTCAAACAGAACACGTGTCGTGGTTTCGTAAACCTTGTACACTCAGTTAGTTGAGTAATATTCAAGTTGTGAACGGATTAGTTAGTTAGTTAGTATGTATTATTCCTGAAGAAGGGATTGTCTAGTGAATTACATACTCACCATCATCTTTCATCAGTTTAACTGATCCTGAAAACAGTATATTCGATAACATTGATTGCTCATTTGTGCCCCACCCCGAGATGGTTCCCATTTCGTGAAACTCAGTCATTTCCTTCAACTGTTCTTCTGTGATGAGAGAAATTGGTGATACCCCATCATTGAGCTCGAGTTCTTCTTCAAGACGAAGGAGAGCTACATCATGCCTGAGAGATCTGGTCCTGGAATCAAATTTGTTTCAATTCAAAGAAATATCAAAGAAATATTCATTTTCCTATGACTAGTAAATTATATAACCGTTTCTTGTTGTTACTACAACATTTTTCCTTAGCATCAAACTTGAAACTCAATGACAAATTTTGACCAGAAGTTTTTGAATTCTTTTAAACCACTAAATTTTCAAACTATTTGAAATCGAATGAATTGACTTAAAAGGAAATGTTTTTGAATGCTCCTTTCAGGTCTCTTCCAATAGTATTGCTTTGTTTCAAAATTCGGGCTGGAAGTCATGGTCGAATATATCATGAAGTATTAAACGTTTCGTTCACTACTGCGGGAGAAATTACCGGTTGAATATAACTCGAAGTCTCAGCAATGAGTATTTCACTTCCAGGTAAGTGTAGCTAGGAATCCAGATCAGAGACAATAGTGAATTGTGGAGATATTGTGGAGAGTTTTTTCTGATGTTGGTAGATTCAACTGATCTCATCTCTCGTCTCTCTCTCTCTCTCTCATTCTTTAAAGTGAAGGAGAAATAGCATTGATTATAAGCGTCTCTGTTTTTTCTTGAAGTATATATTCTTTTGAGGATCTCTTTCGATGCAGATCTGTTTTTTTATCTATACTTTTCTTGGTGTTTGAAAATACTGAATATTATCTAAACCTTCTACATATTATAAATTCATGCTACTCAACAGGTAGTATTCCACAGCAATGGAAAGAGTCTATAGTTACACCTATTTTCAAATCAGGTAACCCTAGTTTACTACATAATTACAGACCAATATCTAAAATTATTAATTTTGCAAAACTATTTGAACAATCTGTTAAAAAAAAGACTCATCTCTGTTGGTGTTCCACAGAGGACAGTACAGGGTCCAATATTGTTCCTAGTGTACATCAAAAACAAGATTTTCAAGGACATCTTGTTTGCTATGCTGATGATAGGGTTTTAGTTTTTACAGAGAAATCTTGGGACCAAGCTTACCATACTACTAAAAACGGCATCAGGAAAGTTAAAAAGTGGATGGACTAGCATCTGTTGATGCTAACTGACCACGGTCAAACAACTACAGGGGTTATGAAGTTACATAATCATGTATGTTTGGCACCACTAGTTTACACATGCCCATCTATGGAGAAAATTGATTCCATTAAATATCTTTGAGTCATTGTTGACAAATACCTTAGATGGTACGAACATATTACTTTCGTCGTCGTTAATATATCTCTTCGAGATATATTGAACAAAAAAAATGTAATAACCCTTTATACTTCTATGGTAGAATCAATTATAAGATACTGCATTCTCTCTTTGGGAGACAATTTAAATTCGACAATGAGAACACAAAACACAATTTTAAAAATAGTTCTGTAGAAAAACAGAAACTACTCTACCAATCTTTTGTATGAGGAAACAAAAATATTCAATGCAAGATCTCTTTACATTTATCGTTGCTTAATGTGGTTTTAAACGAATTGTCAAAAATGTTTGCTACAAAATTCCCGAACAACAAGAGGTGTTACAAATACACAATTTACAGTTCTCTTAATGCATTAAACTCTGACTCAAAAATCAGTTAATTTTTATGGACCCAAATTATATAACCTTCTCCCAAATAATATAAAAAAGTGACATAAGATTCAAAAAAGAAGTAAATTTTTTAATGGAAAATTACAATATTTTCAATATATTCTAAGTAAACAGTAATTTCCCAATTACTAACCCTCACAAAAACACCCATAGGTTGTAAACTATAGGTACGCCTGTTTTAAACGGGAACATTATTCTATCAATTGTTCCACTCCTCTCATACCCAAGTATTATGAAAGCCTAAGATGTGTATAAAACAAGTAAATCGGACACATTCTATGTACAACTAATCTTATTTCTACTTCAGGATGTATTGTTAGAATAGGAATATGATCCTTCAAAAGATAACTTTCAGAAGACAGGCATTGAGTTGCCTAACTGAAACTATCACTGGAGGAATAATATTAAACAAAATGTAAAGAAAATATTAAACAAAATGTAAAAAACGTAAAAATGTATTTCCAATAACCTGAATTGAATAAATTGAGAAATTGAATTATATATTTTGAATTTTTTAAAATATTCAATCAACTGCACAAAATTCTTCGGTATGTTGAAAATGACGATGAAATAGGTACCTGTAGTTTGACACATTTCCCACTTTCATTTCATTCTGGGGCAAGCAAAATTGTTCACATGGTTAACTTCATCCCTTGGGAAAAGTGTTTATTTTGAATTGAATTTAATAATGATCTTACTTGTGGTCATACTCAGGATGAACTATCACTTCCTTTACAATCGACGTCTGTGCTTCATCGCCTGGCACCATCAAATCCACCAGGCCTGCGAACACTTCAAGGCCTGTTTTATTCACCACACAGTGTGCAGCTGTAATGATCCAGCTTTTGCTGAGTATCGATCCACCACAGAGGTGTATATTAGCAAACATGACTGATGCTATATATGGAACATCTTCAATTTCGGATTCATGACCTCCATAAATCCTGAGACTCTCGTCAGCCTTGGATTGTCCTGAAACAAAGAAATCGAAACGAGTGGAATCATAGAAAATTTGCGAAATTGCAGAAGAGACACGTTTTTTATCACTTGTTTCTTGGGACTCAGGATTTTGAAACCCAAAATTACGACTTGCGAGAGGGTTTTCCTTTGTGTTTCGATCTGGAAGTATCTTATATGCATGATCCATAAGTCTTTGTATAGACATCAGTTTGAAATTGATTGTTTTTCTTCTTTCTTTGAAAGTTTTCCCAAATTTTTTTGTATATTCCTTGGAGAAGTGGTAGTCAGAAAAAATCTTACACAAAAACTAATCCTATCCAAAGAATACTTCTTTCAATTTAAACACATTCTGACTCACACTCGATTCAGTACAGAATTTTTCAGCTAGCAAGTTTTTGAGAATTGTAATAATGATTCAATAAATTTCAAATGCCAAAATTCCAATGAAACAATCCATTTTACGAAATTATCAAAAAATTCTGGATAATTAAAGATGGTGTGAAGACAATTTTTCAGACGAATCATTCATACTCATGAATATTCATATTCAGTTAACCTTCAGCTATTTTTCTTCCCCTCTTTTTTCTGTCTATTTTCTGTTCTCCTCATTCTTGGCATTTATGGGATTTTCACTGCCCTGAAATGGAAAACTTTTCAAAATAAATCGCAAATGAATAACTTTTTCCAGAAAGTACTGCGATTGGATAAAATCCAGATAGGGATTCATCAAACTCGTCAGTGATACTCCTTTCAATAGATTTTTCCTATACATTTGAAAAAATATATGAATTGAAAATGGAAATAAATTTTTTCGTGATTCATCTACAATCGTCTAAATTAAAAAAAAAATCCTTTTACACAGTATATTGGATGTTGGGAGTTTCATTTGGCATGAAGTTTTTTTAACAGGAGAATAAGCCATGTTTGTTTGAGACTCTAATGTTGAATATAGAACCAGAAGGAAAGTGAGACATCACATAAAAAGAGGTTTTTTGTTGTTGTAATGGTTTTAGTTACTGGTTTATTTGAATTGTTGGAACTCTTTCATTTATAAAGTCTTTGAGATGATCATGATGATCTCCAATAACCTTTTTGATAAGGACAATATCATTTTCAAAATTTCAACAGCCAGCTTACTGTGTATGAGGAAAGGATCATACAACTTGGAAAAAAAAATTGAATCGACGTCTTTACAATTGTGGACATTTTCACAGAGATGGACAGAGATGGCGGTCAAAACGTCATTCAAAGAAAGTATATTTTCTTTGCAAAATTCATATATTTTGTGAGTGTTTTGAAGAAATTCATTATATCACTGATAAGATGAATGATTCACAATCTGGATTTTATCCTAAAACAGTAACATTTCTGTTAAATTCAGTTGTCTGCTTTTCTTATGTGATTTACTTTTGAAGGTTTTTTTATTTCAGAGGTGTACCTTTTTCAACCTGAATTCAAGAGGGTATTCCTGAACCTAGGTGAAAAAACTGTTTTCAGTTAAAGGAAAACTGAACTTTTGTTTTCATTTTCCAATGGAACATAATACTAAGAGGACTGAACTAGAATTTGGAGAAGTTCGCAATATATAGACACTCATAATCAAGCGAAAAATGGCCAACTCGCGCCAAACGGTCATCTCCCGCTGAACCGGAAAGAAGACATGAATGGAAGTACCACACATTTTTGAGTCATCACCCGAAGACGATTGTGGATACTAACAATCGAAACGTCGTGAAGTAACTTGGCTTGAAATCTTTACATTTTATTTTTTCGTACATTTGTTCTATTTTTTGCTCAATATAATTGTATAATTGCTCAATGTATTGTTTCTTCTAGGGATTTCAAATTATTTTATATGATATTAGACAATGGTATTCCGAACTGATGAAATTTGTTTCTGGGTGTATCAGCTATCAACTCCAAAATGTATGGAACTATTCCAGTGAGAAGGATAAAAAAACTAAAACTTACCCTGAAAATAAAAAAATGATAAAATCACGTTCAGAACTGATAATTTCATTTCTATGTCAGTTAATAACTATTTTGCCTCCCTCTCGATTCATTTTTATATAGATTTGCCGCAGGAAAAAGTAATTATATGACAGGTTTTATGACTTCTATTGTTCCCAATTTATATCGATCGCTGGTACTGAGTAACATTAAATTTCAAATCAACCGAATATCAATTTGCGAAATGAAAATGTATGGGTTTTTACATATCGGATATTTTTATGACTGTGGAATTTATCAATTCAGTATAACTGTGAGTAGAATATCTAAAAAAACCTGGCAAACTAGTTGCTGCAGTTACAGCTGAATATGAGAGAAGAAGAGAATTAGGGTTAAAAGTATCCATAGGATAATTCTTACTCCTTTTTGAATCCTGAATTACTTTCCTAGGATACATTTCCTCAGTATTCTGATTCAATCATTTACCTGGAACTTTTTCGAAACAACTTTTCTCAAATCGAAGAGTCGGTGTAGGCAGAATTGGAATATGATGTGAAATGAATGTGTTGAACATACTTTTTCCACACTAGAACAAAAGTACTTGCACGTTTCGATAAATAAGGTATCATCAGGAAATTAGTCAAAGTGAGTCCTATAACTACGTTGGAGCTCTGGATGAGACATCATCTTTCATGATAATGTTTATTGGATGTGTCAATAAATCAGTTCTCATGATCGTTAATAAATGTTTTTCATTGTATTCCAATTCATGACTACTTGATAAAATACTCCATATTTTCCTGGTGTTCACCTGTAACTATCACGTGATAGAATAAACAACGAGATGGTTGAAATTGCATCTTTACAGCTATGTATAGATCTCATTCCATAGTTTTCTATTTCTCAACTCTCAAAGACGTCTAAGAACACGTTGTGATATATCGGCCTTAAAAATTTCAAGCTTTTCCTACTCACTCTATGGTGTTCTCTAAAACATGCTAAGAGACACCAGACTTGTCTGATCTATGAGGGACCTATGAATTGTGTGCGGAGAGATTGGTAGAACCCAACCTCATACACAAGTCAATAAAAATATTCTCGAACAGTCAAGCGTTGTTCGTCTAAATTGAAAGCAAACTGCCAAAAACGACTCTCTTCAATAGAAAGACTTAACAAATTGTCTCTGGTCTGTATTCCTGGCCATACTGTCCTGGAAGGCAATGGAGCTGCTGACTCCCTGGCAAAGGAGGGTGCTGCAAGCAGCTTCATCGGACCAGAACCTGTCATTGGCAGCACTTTAGGCTTTGTCAAGCAAACATTGAACACCTGGATGGAAGGAAATTTATGAACTTCTGATAGAATCTTCCAAGATTGTTCACTTCTAGGCGTTTATTGACCCTTCAAAGCTTGAAACCAAACAGTTGTTGGACTACAGTAAGGATGAATTACGATATCATACGTTAGGAATCACACGTTACGAGGTAATATCTCGTTAATCCTTAGCTTGCACAAGTTCCGACTTCTGACGGTTGTTGTTCGTAGGGGTGCGACAGCTGTTTAATGGAAAAACAGATTTTTTTAAACAGATTTTCTCATAGGTCAGTGTCGTCTGGTTCATCATATGCAGAGACTCGGACTGTCGGAAGACAGTATGTGTCACCTCAGTTTGGGAAATGATGAAACAGCCCCACTGCGGACCGAATCAGGTTTTTAGATTCCGACAGAGCCGCACTCTTACCATCTGACGTGAAAGACCACTCACCATACAAACTAATCGGCTCCGTTAAGAAGCTGGGTTTATTTGGGCGAGTGTGAACACGTGTGAACCACAATAAACCCTTGTGGGTTGCGGTGAAGGGTCGAATAGACCCACTAACTTTTGACCTCACCTAACCTATCTGGTATATGAAATTGAATATGTGCCTTGTGACGAATTATACCAGCCTGCTCAGTTTGACATACATACTTTTTGTTGCAAAACTCATATCTTATTTCGTAAATTATAGCTTTTTTGCTTTGTTTTTTGGCTTCCAGGTATTTGTTGGGGTGTATGAGGTGAAGGTATAATACTATATTCCTACTATGTATACCTTACATTTTATGCAAGTAGGAATCCCATTTTTTGACAATATGTATGACAAATTCGAAAATTTTTGCAAACAATACTAAAAATAAATCGATTTTGACATAGTTATGAAAACATTTTCAATTTACATTCGACAGAGTAATTAAGAATCACTTCAGAAACCGTAAAGCGAAGTGTTTAAATTTTAATTGTTACTCTAAGGAAGGAATTGACAATAGAAACATAAATAATCAATCCCGTTTAATGTTTCCCAATGTATTTATAATACGAACGAATTTCAGATCTCATTCAATTTTAGAGGAAAATGAAATATAATAGTCAAACGGCGAATTAGGTAATAACCTGAAACCAATGCCATCCGGAGAGTCCTCATGAGTTGTGAAAAATTGTATATTGAATATCAGTTTCTCGAAGTTCACAGACGTTTCATTCTCATGTTTCAAATTTCTGGAATATATGCTGTCATATTCATCTCCGTTTGTGTCGTTTGCGTAGATCTCCGATGTGGTTTCTGGAACCTCTTCTGTTGAACGTTCTGGAAAACCACCTGCTGACAAGTTGCAATCGTTTGTTATTTCTTCTCCTCTACTCCCAAAAAACCACATATTGTAATAAAATACGTAAGAGTGGCCCATTGCCGATGAACATACTGGGTATTGGAATTTATTGAGAAGCTGGAATGTCACCTCTACCTCTAGTAAACAGGGTTCTAAGGCAGTTGGCTGTACTGGCTCCACTGTAGGTTCAGGAAAAGTCAAGTAAGCTCTGAGGAAATCAGTGTAGTTGGAAATTCTAGCATAAATAGAAGAAAGGTGGCATCTTTCTTGGGAGTGTTCATGCTCCCCGTGAAGAATTATTCCAGCCAGTTTGTGGTTCACAACTAAAGGACCTCCATCATCATAGAGACCAACTCCCTTTTCTTGTTTGGTTAGAGGGCCACTGCAAAGTTGAGCTTCTGGTTTGAATTCGTGACAGTCTGGTTTGATGTCGTCGAGACATTCTACAAAAAAAATAATATCGTTCAATAAGAAATCAATAGATGAAGCTTTGGAACATAATTATCAAATGTGTGTTTGCATCTTCGCAAGGAGATAGATCATCGCTTTCTTAATCATTTCGTATTTTATTCTCAAAAAACATATAGATATTATTCGATTTTATGAAAATATGGAACTATGTAGGATATTCTCACCTTCATCACTCAATAATATAACTTCCGCTGTCCTCAGTATTTTGGAACGATAATAATTCTCACTATGTCCCCATCCAGATATAATTCCTACTCTCCTATGATTTATGGCATCCGAAATTTCAGTTTCACTGATGATTTCAATGGGCTGTACGACATCGTTGAAGGTCAAATGTGTTGCGAGGAATAAAAGGGCAACATCGTTTTCTATTGTATCCAAGCTATAATTATAATTTAATTTTTCTTCAATAGTATGTCGTAGTTTTCCTCAATATTATACTAATGTGGGTATTAGTTTTCAGTCCATATTGAGGAGAAAGTCTCCATATAATTTGAAAATCAGAATTTTCACATAGTGCAAAATAAAAAAAAATCTTCATGCAAACTTTGATATGACTCTAGATATTTTCTATGATCCCAAAGGCATTCTGTTAGGTACAACATAGTTTTAGAATAGTAATGTTTTCTGTTCTTGCGAACAGAATGGAATTCATTGAACAAGAGACGGGAGCTTCAATATACTATGGCGGTAGAAATTTACTAGCAAGCTATCGGCTCAATGAATACATATCAGTCTCCCTGGAAAAAAATGTGTAATCCAGTAATTTCTGTAATGTATCTCGTACTTTTGTTCCTTGCCATTGAGATCAACGAATTGGTGGCCGTTTCTCACTTAGAGTATCGATGAACCTAAGAGAAGTTTCGATACTGGTCTGGAAATAACGTGAAGAACTGAAAAAGCTGGAAAAATTTGACTCTCATATAATTTTAGGGATCATAATTAATGGAAAAGCTCATGAGTAGGTTTGTCATTTATTACAAATGCTATATTTCTGACCTGAATCAGTTGTCAGGATATCAGAATGATTCATGAAGGTGAAGAGATAAATATAATCTGAGAACATACATGGTGAAACAATGTTGGAACTGTTGACGAAAAAAAAATAGATTCAAGGGAGTGGGGATCGGTTTGGAACAATTACACTATACCCATTGCCACTTAGAAAGCATCTGAGTAGAATAGAAGTGTGTATCTAATGAAGATCTTCAGCGCGAACACGCAACGGAAATTATGTCACCGTTTTTTATGTCTCAGTGAATTTATTGGATCATATGAAGCATGTCATTTATGAGTAACCAAAGATTATCTTACAAATTTTGAAAAATGTTTACATTTGCTTGAGAATACAAATTTTCTGTGACAATAAACAGAGAGTGAGGTTATTTCTTCCATGAATAATCTTCTTCTACTTGTAATGATCAATAGTTTCGGGTATTTTGATGAGAAGCTAGGAATTGCAAAAATTAAAAGAATCGGTTAACATCAATAAAAACCTGTAGTGGAAATTCATACAGCTTTGCAAATTCAGCTGTCTCTGAATATTGGATGCGCAGTAGATCAGCCGACGGACTACGGCGAGAGCTCATTAACTTCGAGGAGCTCGGGTAGTGATGACCATGTTAGTACAGTAAGTGGATAATTCACTATGTGTGATGAACTATGTTTGTATGTTGTATGTATGTTTTCTGATAGTGAACTGGAAAACAAGTCTTGTCATGAAAAATGTCTCACCTGTAATCATAATTAGGATGGATGATGACTTCCTCCACATCTGCAACTTGAACATCACCATCATTTTTTCTATTCAAATGAATTAGGCCTGCATAGACTTTCAAATCTGTTTTGTTGGCAACACAATGTGCAGCGGTGACAATCCACTGACTATCTAGAATGGAGCCACTGCATACTTGTTGGTCGCCACTTTCAATCGAAACTATGTAAGGTACTTCTTCTCTGAGAGCAGAACGGCCGTCAAATATTCTTGGGGATATAAAAGTTGAAGAAGGTAGAAAGCATTCTGAAATGAACACTGAATTAAATAATTTTTGTAACAATATACTATTGAAGTGATTTCGTCAACTTCTCTATTCATATGTGAAGAAAAGGCAATCAAAAACTAATATTTTCTGGAAAAATTGAAACATACAGGACATCTAATCTGCAACTACTACACAAAATATCTCCGAAATTAAAAAACATGATATTCCAATTCTGCTAACGCTAGTGATAATAATTATGATGCTGTGGATTTTCGGTGCTGATAACTTCCAAATATGGTGCATCCGATGTAACATTGAATTTGGAAGACTTTTGAGCTATTTTAGAAGAGCAATGGGTTCTTAGGATTCCAAGTGATACTTTTTCCGAAATTCAAACATGCTGTTACGCAAACGGCTTTCAAATCGACGCTGATGATTGCTTACATCAACTCATTATTATTTGCTGAGTAACTTTTTTTTCGAAGGAAGGTTTTCGTATTTGTTTTTCCCTGGACTTAAAAAATGTTGATTATTTTTTCATGAAGTCCTTTTACTGAAATAATGTATCTATCACTTTTAAATATAAGAGAAACTTTAACTTTCTGGGGTTCTTGATTCCAACAGGCTACATACGTTGTATTTTTGCCCAGAACATAAAGATCTTTTGTATCACTTTCAACAACTGGTTTGAATTTTTAGAAATATATTTTTTGGAATCTTCAATATTCCCAAAACAGTTGGCCTTACGACAAAAATCTCATGTACTCAAAACTGTTTCAAATTCAATTCCATATCGAAAACACTATATTTGAGCAAAAAGAGCATATGTGCCTTATGAGAACGGAGGACAGTGGGACACGCATGGGGTCTTTCACCCCGTGAGGTCACCTGGATCTACACTGCAATAAAAGGACATATGTTAACGTACGGAGCTAGTGCATGTGGACTGAAAGTTCAACAAGCAACGGCCATCCAAAAATTATATGAAATTCAGCGATTGGCTTGTTCAACTATCACAGGAGCCGTGAGAACACCACCAACCATGGCAATGGAATTAATTACTGGTCTGACCCCTCTGGATCTGTACGTTGAGGAGGTTACGTTAATGGCCATATTACGATTGCGCACGGCTGATGTGAACTTCGAAGTAGGAATAGGTGAATTGAGGCTGCGCCTATGGCGAGAAGAGCTTACTGCGGAACCTCTGCTGCAGGCAACCAGGGATGCAATTAAACCCAGGTTTGTGTTCAATAAACCCTAAAAACAGTATACAGAGTTAGATGCCACAAATGTAATGCACATATATACAGACGGCTCAAAAACTAAAGAAGGCTCAGAATGTGGAGTGAATCCGGATTACCAAGCCATAGGATTAAGTGGGTAATGGATAAAAAACCAGCGTGGTTCAAACAGAACTGGCTGGTATCTCCATCGCCACAAAAGAAACAACCAGGAAGGGAATTTCTGGCAAAAACATAACAATCTGCACTGGAAGCAGACAAGCCCTATTAGCCTTGAACAGACAACGTGTTACCTCAGGGCTAATACTAGAGTGCCACCAAGATTTATCCAAAGTCTCGGTAGTTAATAACATTATTCTGGTGTGGATTGAAGGACACGACATGAGTAAAGGTGATCGCACTGGCGACTCTTTGGGAAGCAGCTGAACTAAGAATATTAGGACCCAGTGGCACTTAAGGCTTGATGACTGCAACAATTGCGGAACTAGCCAAACGTCACACCCATACACAATTCTTGAAGAGATGGGATGAAATCAAAGAATGCAATCTTGCCAGGATCACCCTTGGCGACCCTGGGTGCAGAAGAAATATCTGGCGATGACCAGGAAATATCCGGAGTAATTGTGTTCTGCCAGTCTTGGCCTACACCTGCCGATATAAAGGAGATGTCTCCCAGAGACCTCTCCACCTTCCCGGAAAGGACAGAATGGACGATGACCTAGGAGGAAAACTTCTTGGGAGGATGTACAATGGGTCACATCTGGGTCACAAGTATCTGGCTTCTTCAAAGGTTGTTTTATCTTGATGATTCCCCAATGACTGGTGGTTTCTACTGACTAGTCATCTTGGTTTCAATCAGGTCGGAGCCCAGCTCCCTTACCCTTTTTGCTGATATATGTCGAAGAAGGACAAATGGGTTCATGACTGAGGAGATGTTGGCGGTAAGAAGTCCTCAGACATCAGTGCCGCCCTTCACGGGGTACCCCTACCTGGCTGGGGAGGGATGGATGAAAAATCTGTTCGTCATTTAACGGGGGACATGAGGGCCTCTATCGACAGAGTGTCGGGGCCTTCTATATCGGGAGGGGTCGTCTACAGCATAATCTATAGCTTTCCTAACTAACGCTGGAGATTTTTTGTTCGTAGGTGTTGTATTTATGTTGACTCGGATAGTCCGCCCCTCTTGGTGATGCGTTGCTATTGGCCGACGTGTTATTACCTGTTAATGCGCTGTTGCTACGCGCCTCCTCTTTTCTGTTGTAGTTTTCCGTATGTTCATGGATTTCTATGGCTTCCCCTACAAGCCGATTGTGGTATCCATGATCGAGTGCAAGTAGTTTCACATCTTCAAACAGTATCCTTCACTAAGCTCTACTGCCGATTACTCTATTTGACCTAATTTACAGTATTTTCGATGCTCATTCAGTATTGCACTCATGGATATTTTGGTGGTATCGATATAAACTTTTCCACAGGTGCGGAAGATTAGTTTTCTAGCTAGTCGAAGAAGATCGTAACCAACACTGGTAGAGAAATGAACGTATTAGCATTTGTGAAAAATTCAATAAACAACAAAATGTTTCTACTCGTATTGTCATTGTCAAAACACATGAAATTATTTCATGAGTTTCAGGTTAACATAATAATTTCACTCGATCAGGATCGCCTGTAAACATGGAGAATTGCATTTTTCAATAACACTGTCAGCCGAAATCGATTTGAGGTTCAAACTATGAAAAACTGTCGAAAAGTTATACGGCGTATCAAACAATATTATAGGCGATGTCAAAGCTTGTTGAGCAGTGATTTCTGAGTTCAAATGCCTGATGCTTCTTCTACAAATGTGATAAACTTGATCAAAAACGGTGAAGTGAGAAAATAAGTATAGACGTCGTCATTAGTCGGATGGTAGCCAGTCAGTTCGACGTTGGTGCTTCGTTCACTTACTCAAATCGACTGCCGTCTTGGTCGCTGGTTCAAGCCCTAGGCTAAACGATCGATTTTCACTTGCTATCGTCCAGCCCGTTTTAGGAATCACACGTTAAAAGGTGAGACCTTGTGAGTAGGGGTGCGACAACTGGTTAACGGAAAAGCGGATTTAGTGGTATGTGAGGACAGATAGAACGCATGCCTGATTATTCCTTAAGAAAGATCAGACAATATATTTCTTTTGACAGTTATTAGAAAATGCAGATTACAAAAATTTGAATTATTGGCATGTACCAACATACAAATTCATGTTTTTATGAAAGTAGCTGTTTCAGCAGAACTTTCTTTCAGTTTGTGTCTGAAAGTTACTACTTTGCAAGATCTACACATCCATGTATAGAGTTACTTATTTTCAAATTTGATTACTTCCTTCCTTTCATTGGAAGATTCCCTCATCCTTTTTTTTGTATCAAGATGAGGTAGTAGAAAGTCAAAAACTTTTTTTCCCAAAAAAAATAAAAACAAATTTATATGTCTACAAACTATGAAGCTTCGGAAATTTTGAGAATTCGAGAGACAATTTATAAGAAAATAATGAAAATGATTAAAAACTCACCAGAAAAGAAAATCAAACCAAAAAACACGTTTGAAAGTATTTTCCTCATTTTCGCAGTTTACTGATTTGGGAACAATTTTCCATTTTTATATACAATTGTTTATCAAACATATATCCATAGATTTTGTTGTCACGAATCACGAACAAATGAATTTTTATATCCTAGTAATTTTCAGCACTTAATACTTTATTATCCTGATAGCTATGAAATAGGTCGTGTTACATAAAACCATGCAAATCAGTTTTATGATTTCGTAAAAGTGATATTATTTTGAAAGAGTTTCATGACTACATGAAAGAGATATCATTTCAATGGTATGGAAAAAATTCTGAAAGACAATAATTGTTGATAATTTCACGATGACCATTTTTGGGACAATGAAGGACGTCAAATTTTCCGTTAACATTTTCTGAGTTCTCCAGGATGTCCTAGGACAAAACAGGAACTATGGGGGATGAATTGGGTATTAAATATTACTAAAACGAAGACATCCTTCAGCTGTCAAAAAGATAAAACACGGATCTCATCAAGTTATATCTAAGTCTACTAAAAAAATTAAGCAGGAACTTTTCATAGAATATCTGGAAGTGTAAATTGAGAGTGGATCATTTCTAGAAGATATTGATTTTTGGGAAAGAAGGGTTTATCCCTTCTAGAATTTGTTTCTTTCCATACTACGAAGAACTGGTCAATTGAGTTTGTCGCAATGCTTGGAATCCTTCATAAGAGAGGAAAGTCTGGAAGGAGATGAAAAACCGCCATATTCGGAGTGCAAGGAAAGAATAAAATACACAAAATCCCTATCGATTCATAACTTTTCCTGTATTTTAGTAATTCATTCAGAGGTATTCTCTCCAGCGGGAAGATTTAAAGGCAAATGAAATGTTGCCATCAATTTTTTTCTAAAAGGATCAGATATGAGCAATTATGCAGCAAGCAATGTAGCTCCTTATCGGTATATTCTATATGTACTTTCGAATCCCAGCGGGACTACTTGTAGCGGGCATTGCACAACTAACTGCAGACACATCTACACTGGCACGTGGCACGAGTATAACGATTCACACGTTTAACCGATTCTTTCAAAATCACCTCTTTTATGAAAAGGAGAAAATGAAGTCACATCTCTTGTACCAATATATGTGATATTTATATTCAGTTTGACGTCTGAAATTTCAGTGCAAAAAATTATCAGTGTGTATTCACTGAATGGATACTTCGAGATGTTCTATGTTTATAAAAGATCGCCGGAACAAAGATCTTGGAAGAAGCGGAAGCATTATAATCCCGATAGTTCCTGAAATTCCAGTTGGAGTTTCCATGTTAAAGGATCTGATATAAACATGTAATGTTTCTTGGGAATAAAGCATCACTATCAATATATATTAATTCATTCCAGTATCAGTATTTTTGTGATAATGTTTTTCTCTAACATAGTAATATCTTTTTCGTTTAACTTTTTGCTGCAAGTTTACATCCGTCTGTTCAATGATCATTGTCATTGTGGAGTTTTTCACTATTTTCAAAACGAAAATTGAACTAATCTCTCATACTTATAGATATTTATAAAAATATTGATAACCAGTGACGAAATTGCAGAAATCGATAGGGTAGCGAAAGAAGTTAGACCCCAATTTATCGATCGAAAACGTTTATTTTCCCTTTATGTTGGTAAGTTAGTATTACATGTGTTTCACGTTGTTCCGTGCTGTAGGCTTGTACCTCTTCAGGGGCTATGTCAATCAAAAAAAAGTAATAATTGTTTTTATGTGCAGCCTAATCTAGTTCTTGCTGTTAGGTGTTTATGTTTGGTTAGAGTGCTTTTGTCCTGTATTGGTCGGGATTTGGTGGGTCTTGGGGCATAGATGGATCTATTTATTTCTGGTCTTCTCTGGAAGTGGGCTGCCTTTTATCAGCTCGCCAGCGGGAACTCATCAAGGATGTCCTGGAAACGCTCCGGGATATCCTCCAGGACTCCTAGGAGCCATGGAGGATATCCTGGATCCTTCTGGGGCCCCCGCGGGCGTCAAAGGGGTGACCAACATCTCAATTTCCATTGTGTTGCTGCTACTCATTGCAGCAACACAATCACAATGTATTTGTCTCGGTGTTCCTGTAATCTCAGAATCATAGGGGTCAGTTTTACGGTGTTATATAGTTCGTTGAAGGGGAATCGGTTAAAAAGGTTGTGTATGTTTCGTAAAATTCTCCTTTCTGTGGTTAGTACGCGCTGTGTTAGTCTCGGAGGGATTGCGCTGTAGATCATGACTTTATAGTCCATGATCGGTCTTATATAGGTCTTGTAGGTGCGTGATAGTGTTTTGCTGCCGCAATTCCCGAGCTTGCGTCTCAAAGATTTCGGGAGGTTTGCTTTTTCCTGACTCTATCGAAGGTATAAACCGCAATTGATTATATTCATGAATGTACATGAGGGTGGTCCCGGAAGTCCACAACAAATTGCCATTCTTAGACGTATTGGTGAAGAGACCGACACTAAGTGGGAAACATCTGTATACCGAAAACCCTCTCACATGAAACAGTATCTGAACCACGAATCCAACCACCATCAATCAACTAAAAGAGAACTCATCAAGACTCTTAGACCGTGCTTTCGGGTTCTGTAGTACGAAGGAAGATCCCGATAAGGAACAAGACATCATCAAAAATAATCTTCAATGGAATGGCTACTCCAAAGCGATGGTGGAACAGACTTTTGCTGAAAGACAGCAGGAGCCTCGCAAGGTAGAGAAGCCGTCACAGCCAGTGCTTGCACTTCCCTCCATCAGAGGATTATCAAAAAGGATAAGAAGAATTGGATCCAAGTACAACATCAGAACCTACTTCAGATCCGGTAACATTTTCCGTAGCAGCCTCACGAAAACCAGGCCACCAAACGCGGACTGCGATTCCAAGAATTGCATTTACCGGATACCCTGTGAGTGCGGAAAATCCTATATCGGTGAAACTAAGAGGCTATTGAATGTTCGCATTGCCGAGCACAAGAAACACACACAACGAGGGAAAATCAGCAAGTCAGGAATGGTAGAACATGTTTGGACCCATCAACATAATATCGAGTGTCCCTAAGCTGAGACCATTGGTTAAGGAGGAAATTTAAAGAAGCCGCATATATGTTGTCCAACAGTGTATCCGGCCAAGCTAGCGTAGAGATATGCATCATATGGAAACCCATAATCAAGCGAAAAATTGCTGGCAATTCCCGCCAAACAGTCATCTTCCGCTAAACCAGTGAAGCGAAAAAAGAAAAGCGGAGATAAGTGAAAGTACTCGAATGACCCATAAATAGTCATCTCTCGGAGAAATTAGTCCAGCCATCACCCTTAGACGATTGTGGATACTAACAATCGAAACGTCATGAAGTAACTTGTTATTTTCAGCTATTCATTTTTAATTCTTCTTCTTTTATCAGTTCTTTCTGGGATTTCAAATAATATCAGACAATGGAAGTCCAAACTGATGAAATTATTTTTGTGATTTCATTCATCAGTTTCGAGTATGTTGTTGTGATTCCCTCAACTTGAATAAATCAATCATATCTTGTAACACTTCACATTAATTCGAAAGCTTTCCTTCCACCATCACAAATATCCTCGTATCCTCATTGAGAATAACTCCATGCAAAAGCATCACATTCAACGTAAATGCAAAGTAGAGTCTCAACGTATTACAAAATCTCAGGAACAATATACGAAAGGGTATCCAGAAATATGAGAAGAGATTTAGAGATGTATACTGGAATACTAAAGTTGAAATATCCCTTGAGTGGAATTCAAAACTCTAACAGTGCTACGAAAGAGAGGATGTTAGAAAATCCCAATGGTTTTCGTTTTGTCGTGGTAGTTTACTTGCTGAAATTTGGGGAAAGCAAAGTAAATGAGGTATATTTGATTTTCACATATGTTAGAGAAATGAGTATTACGTTCAGATAATATTTTTGTATCGATACACCTATAGTTAGTTCAATTTTTCGAGTCACAAGACAAAGAAAAACAGTGAAATATTTGTGTCAGTCAGTTGATGAATGAAATATTTCGATCTTTTTATAGTTCCAAAATAATGTTTGATACTAAACTCAATCTAAATTTCGAGGTATTCACATTGACAATAAGCTCAAATTTATTGAACATATCAAACAACTTAAGAGTTGCTGTATTAGAACTGCAGAAACAGGCTATCAGGTATGTGTGTAAGATTAAAGCTCGTGATTCATACAGACACGAATTCGTTGAGGAAAAGATTTTGACAGTGATTGCTTTGTTCAGTTTGGAATCGGGTTGCCTCATTTACAAAAATATGTCTCTATTTCAGGCTTCATGCAATTCTTATAGCCCCCGTTCCACAGCGTTGAAATTGCCCATTCCCTTAACAAATTTGGTCAGGAATTCTATTTATTGAAAATGGGGTTAAGATGTTTAATCACTAGCCCTTAGATATAAGACAGGTAAATTTTACCAAGAAAATGTTTAGAATAAGAGTAAAAACATAATTTGTAAAAGTTCTATAATGGTAAATTTACTTGACAAAATGTGCATATTTAATATAGGTTATATAAGATGTCTGTTTATATTCTTGTTTGGATATAAATGTTTGTATTTCTGGTGTAATAAGTATGTTAATTTATGTGAAATTATATATTAGTATATATGTTTATATGTGTATTGTATGAGTGTTGATAATATTTTTAAACAAATCTGCACACAATCATGTTGATAAAAAAATTAGACGTTGACCTATAGTTCTAACATTACTTTTCTGTAGGTGTTTTTATAATCACATTTTATATTTCTATACTTACATTAGTATTTATTTTTCACAAGGTTTGTCCAAGATTTATTCTTAATGACAATAAAGTATATTATTATTATTATTACGTTGAGATGTATGTTCTTATTCATCATCAGAAAACAATAATACTTGCATCTGATATTGATGTATGTGGCTCATTCGCATACACCTGCGATTTGAGAAAACCCCAAAATAAAAATTCTAACGGGGTCAAATCGGGCGATTTCGGTGGCCAGTTCACATCACCTCCACGTGATATGAGCATGCCCGCTAATCGCACGTGTAGAATATCCAATGTGGC